AGAGTTTTGATACTGTCATTGACCCTTTGTACAAAAATAAGAATTTGAGTTCATATAATGGAGTAGAGGAAGCGAACCTATCTTACCAAACTTTATCACCATATCATACAATAAACTTTCCCCAATATCATCAAAACCAATCTCTTAGCACATCAATGAACCCCTCCCTCTTCAAAGGTGAAACGCACAAAATAGGCAAAAATTTCAGCCCTGCCACTTCACCTTTCCTTCCCTCAATACCTTCAGCACGCCCAACGGCACAACACCTTTTTCCACAACAGCCAGCCCGCCATATCGCTCTGCCATCTCTTTGCAATACAACTCCGCAACCCACTTCCAGTACATATTCATATGATACCAATCGGAAGAAATGGGAGGTAGCTTCTGGTCTTGCGAATTCCCCAATCGAGACTGCTCGCTCATCAGCTCTGGCGTCCGATTGACAGAAATCTGATCCTGGCAAAGGAGCAGTTCCTGGTACGCCCACACCAGGTGTTTGCTGGTGGCTTCGATGTGTCGGTTGAATTCTTCCAGCGACATAAACTTTTCGGGTGCCTGGTACGATGATGGCGAGGAGGAGCCGTCGCGGCCACCATGACGACGACGATAGGTGTTTAGAACAAAGTTGCCAGTGTGGTCGGGTCCACGTTTTTCGAAATGTTCCTTCGCGGCAGAATATTCTTTTTCTTGTTCGATGAAGACTTTCTCCAGAATCCTTTCCGGTGTCTTTCTCATATTTTCGCGAATGGCGAGGAAGGGAATCAGTGGGTTACTGAGGTCCAAACCTCCGAGCTCCACGGGGAAATAGAAAACGCCACTGGGGATATTATGAACGTTGAATCGCTCGGAAATCACGAGTCTGAGATAATCTACCGCGTTGCGGACGGGGGCGGAAGAAGAAGAGTATTTGTTGCTGGGTGACGTGAAGAGATCATGCTCGATACGTTGCAGGGTGGATACTGCCATTTCGACGTGCTCGCGCCCAAAACACATGGCGGGCTTTCCAAAATTGTTAACGAAGAAGCGAGCAAAATAGCTGTTCCACGCTTTAATCCAGCTAAAAATGCTTTTGCAGGCGTCCAGCTGGTGTTTGAGCTCCTTGATGTGCTCATCTACCTGCGATTGGTCGATGATGAATCGTCCGGCCTCCTCGTCAAGCTTGAGAAATCCCCAGCGCACATCACCCACAGGAAGGGCATCGTAATCAATACTCGACCTCGAGGAAGAGATGGACATGTCATCAGCATGATCCCCGTCCTCATCTTCGCTTTCAGAGGAGCTCGTTTCCTGACGTAAAGATGGGGGCTTCTTTCCAAATAGTCGGGCCGTCCCTGTTTTCTCCTCATTGAACTCAATTCCCATGACCTTGCTGAATTCAGTCATGGCCGTCCAAGCACAAACACATAATTTCTCCGGGCCCCAGAACCAGAAGTCGTCATGAAGGCGATAAAGGAAGGCGCCGTCTGCGGATTTTGAAACGGAGTAATCCATGCAGAATAGCAGCGACTCTCCAAGGACGTCGCTTAAAGCGTGAGACATTGGAACACCTCGTCTTCTGATGCGGGCCGGAGCGTCAGGCCCGTCTTCCACGAATTTCAGCGGTGCTTCCAGAAATCTCTGAAAGAAATCGAGCCAGACCTGAGGAACATGGAAGAACTTCATCACAGTAAGCAAAGTTGAATGCGGGAGAGACGGCCCAAACCATTTGAAGTCAGACCTTAATACTGTTACTTGCCCATGCAACGTAGTGGCTACGCGGGCTTCTGTAATGAGGAGGTGAAGCAAGGAATGTTTTCGGTCAAGGGGTGAACTAGAAGCAGCAAGGTCGCTCTCTTCGGAATTATACGTAGTCGTCTGCATTTCATTAGACGGGAGCTGGCTCATGAAGTAAGATTCCTCGAAAGTGTCTCTTCTAGTCTTATATAGATTCTCTTGAGGACCGCCCTCTGCTTTGGGATCCTCGTGGAGAAAGTATTGCCGCCTCTCTAGATCGCGCTTGGGAATAGGGGGTGTATTCCGCTTCCAAGCATGTGAATTAAAAAACGTTCCAAATATTCTCTTGAACTCCACCCCCCATTTTACTCCAATGTATTGTAAGAAGAGTGCATCAAGAACTTCTTCATCCATGTACACGCGGTATTTGCCATTCAATTGTCGTCGCATCTCAATTGGGATAGCTTCGCTACCCCATTTCCACGTATCGAGTTGAGCAAGACGCATGTTCAATACGTCTGAAACTTCTTGAGCGACGTCCTCATTTTCGAGAAAGCCTTTGAGAATGCTGACCTTATCAGGGGAGAAGATATCACTAGAAATTACCCCATTCGTAACCCATTTTAGGGTGCTCGGAGTGAAGGCCTTCTGATCTGCAAGCATATCCTTCGAAAAAGTCTTCACTGAATTCCGCAGATCTTTGAGAGCCTGCTGGGATAGTCTGGTTTGCATGAAGAGCTGTTCAAGGTAACATTCAACAGCAGCGGTGTCCGTTTGAGCCGGCTCAAACACCAATGCCTCCCATTGGGCCCGCTGCTCGTGCATCTCCTCCCTCCCAACAGGTTCGAGCGAGCCTTCAATTCCCTCGTCCGCACCAGGGTCGTTTGGATTCGCGAGCCACTCAGTAACTAGCTGACTGAAGAACAAAGCGTGTTCATGTCTAACGCTCCGCAGATCCAGCTCTCGCTTCAGCTCCAGTTCCCACGTTGATAGCATCTCGCTCGATATCGACGAGTCATATTTACTTTGGAATATGAACCGTCTAATGTTCCGATACCGACTCCTAGATGTCGGTTCCCAGGGGGAGTCGTTCCAATCAAGTTCTGCATCATCTTTGTCCGTTGTATCCAAGCCATCACTGGGAAACCCTTGGATCTTCGTTACTCCTTCGAGCAGAATCCTTACCTTCTCACGCAGGTCCGGCTGTTGATTGGCTTCGTTGAGGAGCTCCGCCTTGCGAGTTTCGAACAGAGCCCGCTGCTTTTTGAGCTCGGTGATTTTCGTAGCAGTAATCGATTGCAGAGCTTGAGGAAGGGCGGCGGTGGCCATCTTTTTAGTCATCGGCATCGGTTGGCTTGTGTGGGTTCTTCGTAGATGGGTCAAGCTAGCAGTAGGCTTCCGGCAAACGGGATTGGGTAAAAGTGGGTTGTGATAAGCGATCCGACGAGACCTCCAAACCTGTCGGAATTTGAAAGTGCTCAACATCGAGTTGGATCCCAGGAAAGGGGGGAAGGAAAGGGGGATATTTCGAGGGCGCTTGAACAGCTTTTTATGTCGACCAGGTCAACGCGATCAGCGTCGGACCACCGGATTACAGAGTCGAGATTGAACAGGACCTCGTGGAGAACCAGTTTTGCCAGTCGACAGGAGTTGAAAACTAGTATGGATATGGACGCCGACGAGCGGTGATAGACCTATGGAAGAGATGATGATGCTGATGCTCAAACTGCCAGGCGGACAAAGGCCATGGCAACCCTGGTGACGGTCACACAGATGCATTGTCGGCGTCCGCAAATGAAGTACTAACTGGCTGCGAATGAAACCTCCAGAAGTCAAGCCACACACACTTAATTTGGAAAACGTGGATTTTGAATCCTAGTCTAGCCATTTAAGTATTTATGTCCGATCAAGAGCCGTTGAGCTTGTAGAGAGTGATGCAAATAAGCATACTGTGCAGTCGAAATTCAAGGCAGCCAAGTCAATTCGATGGTGAGTCATCTTCATAAATAACAGATTTCACAGATTGGCAAACAGATATTCGATGATCTCAGTAACTTATGAGAGCTCTCCATGTCGAAACACTCCAGCATATTGATTGTTAGGCAGCGCGCGCGTTGAGAAAAGTAACTAGTGCGGCTCTTTGGCCGGAGATAACGCGTTAGCTCGTTGCTCCTCCGGTTTCAATATCAGTCAATCAACCAACCAATCCCTCTCCATCCGGATGCGAATATCATTGGAATTCAACAACATAATTAAATAGGCAACCATTATTCATGCCATAGAAGTATTCATGAAACTCGACTCCCAGCTCAGCCTCGATTTTCTCCCCGATCTCTACTAACTATACGGAGTAGCTCCTAGCACCTCTCTACGAACTCACCGTCCCAAACTCAACATGACTTCCTGACAACTGCAATCTCACACCCTGTGCGCTAACGCTTAGACGGACGACGTTGAAATCCCTGCTCCACGAAAAGTTTTACCTCGCTTCTAACTCGCCTCGCAGGCGAATTGCGCCCACAGCCACAGCAAAGCCGTCCAGCAGCGCTGCCTGTTGCAGGAGGATCCTCCCTTCACCATTACCATACCAGAGCTGGTGCTGAGCCGCAGATGGAGGACCCACCATCTTTTGCTTCATTATTTTAAGGTGGAGAGGTGGTGCCGAAACGCAGATAGCCAGGATCCCATATCCTAGCGGCTCCCTTGAACAGTGCATCCCTTCACATGCACGGAGTAGTCACCACTCTATCCATCGGTAAGCTTCTTCAGGCCAAATTCGACATTGATATCTACCAAGGTACATACGTTGATATGCAGAATCCTGTGCAGAAGCGCGACGAATCAAGCATGAATCCCGTAATATTGCGAGATGGGGGCGGACAGCTGATGTACTGTCCATGTACACTACATGTACATGTCAGTCACATCTACAACGCCAATTTTCAGCATCTCTCTGTTCCTCTCACAAATTTGACTTTAAATTCGAGTCTGCTGCCGTCTCACTCCTCGTGCCCTGGGATGGTGGAGGGTTATTTATGAGGATGTGTTTACGAGATGGAATTGGTGTGTAGTCAAGCTGCATTCCAGCGGTTTGGGAGGATTGAGGGAGATCCTTGACTAGCCACTTTGAGCGAGTTCTCTTTGAGGTGCTGGAAGAGCATCTATGATGGAGTAAAGGGTTGTAGGGTGACATTGTTGTTTGCTGGGGTGGATATGATGGTGGTGTGGTGATCGAATGGTAAGTCGGGTGAAATGAACAGTTACATGAGTGATATAGTTTACCTAGGTATGCATCTTGAGATCAATATAGGTATTATTATTAAACAATCAGTTTTTCAAAGTAAGTCTGAGGTAGCATAATGTTCTTCAAAACAAAGAAGATTCAATGCAATTTTAAAAAGACGTTTAGTCTATATAGGTCAATTTGTCTGGGGTGCTGTCGACATTAAATTAAAGGAGCAGATAAAAGAGAAGAGGAAAAAAAATCAGAAAGAAATAAACAATACAACTGAAGAAAAAACTGCAGGTATCCATCCCCCAAGTGGAATTACTTAAGAAAACACCTCATTATTCATAGTTCCCACACCTCTATCCCGTTCATTAGAAATTCCCCCCAAACCCTTTCACATCAACCCGGCCTCGTCCACTTTTCACATCGATATCCAGATCATCATCCACAGGCGACGACGGAGATCTTGACTGGGACTCCTCATCAATACTAAGCGCTTCTCCTTGGTTATACGCCACAGACAGATTCGTGACATCGATATCCCTCTCATTCCATGTCTTGCTCGTCGCTGGGATTGGCCAAATCCTCGTGAGGATATAATACATCGCAAAGGAAATGAAGAAGCCGCAGAAGAAATTTAGATTGTAGAAATAGGTGGCTCCAACGGGTACTGTGATGCCAACAGCACCGACGAAGCCGACGATGTTGATGAGAATCCCGGAGAAGTAGGACGCGTAAGCGTGCCAGGAGAAGCCAAAGACATAGTAATAGGGACTACGCTTGCGGGCGCTGTAGAGTTCTTTTACGTCGATGTAACCCTTGCGAACAAGATAGTAGTCGCAAATCATTGGGCCTGCAATGGAGGAAAGAAAGACGGAGTAGGCGGAAAGGTATGTGGTAAAGCTGTTCGAGCTGGAGAGGAGATGCCACTGTAGAACAAGGGCATATTTGTTAGTAAGGAGTGGAGTAACGGTAGGCAGTGAGGATGGTGTGGTGGAAACACGTACGGGACACATAGCGAAACCAACGGTTGCGCAGATATACCCGCCCCGGCGAATACTGAGGAACCGGGGGAAGAGGGCGGTCATATCGGTTCCCGCCGATATCGAGTTGGCCGCAATATTTGTTCCTAGCTGTGCTAGAGCAAAGGCACTGGAGATGATAAAGACCCCAAACCTTTCCCCTTTGCTCGCGCCGTCGAGAAATCTACCTAAAATATCAAGTGGGTTCCAAATAGGCTCTTCATAAATCACGCCTGACGAGGATGACACGATAATCCCGATGAATGATGTGATTGCAAAACTGATGGGTATCGTGAATAGTTGAGAGTACAAGGCATCCTTTGGCTTCCTAGCAACCCTTGAAAAGTCGAGCGAGTTGACGATAAGCGTAGCGAAGTTGGCGATTGAAGACATTACTCCCTTTATCACTGCCCAGGCCAATTTGCTGCCTTGGACAGTATGCTGTTGGTCAACAACAGGGCCGAGTCCACCTGCACGGTGGACGGACCAAGCAAGGAAAACGATGCCAGCCATTGGCGCGTAGTAAGATTTGATGGTGAAGAGATGGCGGATCTTATGCACTGGGAACCAGATGGCGGGAAGACTGCAGAGTGAAAACAGAAAGAAGCTCAAGAAGTCTCTCGTGGTTGTTCCCGAACTAGCTGGCATGCTATTTGGCAAGTCCTTATAGCTAGACCATATGGATCTAATCATCAGCGTAACACATTGGCCTTATCCAAGGACGTGCATAGAGGATTTATATCAGTCTCCGGCAAAAAATCTAGGATGTCAACGCCCTCTACGCATTAAAACATGGGATTACATACCTCCAATCCACGACTGCACACCATACCAGATACATGCCATGGCTGCCCGGTTAAAGACAGGCCACATGGAGCCCCATACCCCAAACGACGCCCTGATACCCACTGGGAAAGATATGTGATACACTGCACCGATTCGCGCACTCAGGCACAGAAACACAGCAGCAATGAAGTATCCAAACCACACGCAAATCCAGGACTGCCACCACGACAAACCTTCGACGATCATCGCGGACGAGATCATCCATGTGTTCTGGGATTAGAAAATCGGTTCAGCATACTCTGCGAGTTCTCACAGTAGATTTCTCATGAAAATGATTCGCGTTTGTTTTGACCCACGATATTGAAGGAGTCCGCGATCCAGAAGCCAACATAGTTCCAAGGACCCCATCGTCGATGCTCCGGTTTAACTACATCATGGGAGCGTCAGTAAGGGTTAGTGTCATTAGAAAACGGTAGAGTCCCGACGTCTTGCTTGGTCGAGCAATAGTAGCTAAGCTCACGTACCTGGTTTCAAATCATCGTTCACCAGCATGAGCTGTCCGGTAGACAAGCCAGCCTCATATCTAACCTCCAGCTTGGAGACATAATGCGCAATTTTTGAATTTGATAGAACATCCATATTTGATCCGAGGTTGGTGAAAGAAGGCACATATCAAACAAGGAAATGTATCAGAATGGACAAGATATATACTCTATACTCTGGCCGCGGTCGCAGTTCCCCGGGCGGAGTGCACACGCTGCAAGAAGGAGGAAGCTGTCGATCGGGATCAAGTCGTCTATGCTGATTGATTGTAGTTCGTCTGAGACGGCGATGACATAGCAGAGATGAAGAGAGGGGGAGACAAGGTGAGAGATTCATCTGCTGCCCTGGAAGTATTTATACGGGGGAGGAGAGGTTTTCCCCACGCTCGATGTGATCTTGCCCGGGAGAGATTCTCCGCCCAAGATGGCAGCTCCTAGTATGACATCTGCACTACAGACGTCAGTTGTCTTCCCGTTAGAACCCAGTTGAACCAAGATCCCGGAAGTCAAGCAGAAACATGGCTTACTGTTACCCAATGACACTAGCAGAGGACTGGACTTGTCCGCGATCAATATCGCTCGTTATCATGTTGGTGGACCCGGTCATCTTCCCCCGTCGCCGTCCACTGTCGTCGTCGAGCTACTTGCGCAAACTTTTGGAAACCGTTCCCCCAACGGTGGATCTACACAGAGTAATCGAGATAGGGTTCTTTTCCCGGTATCTGATTTGATCATCGCCGTGGAGGGTATCCAAGAACCGCCATCACCGATCACAGGGACAGCCGGCCAAGTTTTCCAACTCTCGTCCGTTGTTGGTTCCCGATACTGGCTTTATTATTGTGGTGGGTGCAACAACCCGGTCGCATGCGTTCGCCCCTCGATGGGCCATAGAGAACAGGCTACTGGGAAGCTCACGAAGTTGGAGGGCGACTCCTTGCGACATCGCATCACCTCCCCTTCCTATCAGCAGCTCCAATGTCTGATAAATATGGAGAACCCTGGCTTATCTTTCTTGGCTAGCTACCGGCCATTCTGAGGGCAATACAGAGTAACTGCTGATTACACCATCTTCCAGGGTGGCGGGGTTAACGAGGCTTTGAGTGAATCCGAGTTCTTTGGAGGAATACAAACAGTTGACTCTTGCGGTTGAGATGGAGAAGAAAGTCCACGGAAGTGGGAACTGAGTTAATTCGCGCTAAGTTAACTACCGGATAATGTTGGGCCCAACCAAGTAGGTCAACTGGGTAACTAGCCAAGATGCTGTCGCTGCTCTATAGTTGCTAGACGGATAAAATGTGCTATCATACATATATATATATATATATATATATGTGTGTATATCAAGGTGGTTAACCCGAGCTAATGGATTGATCCATCTGGTCTAGTCTCATTATTGAAGCAGCTGTATACACCAAGCATTTTACGCACATGAAGTTTCGAAATTCGTTTCATTCCAGATAAAAGGTTTACATATATATATACCATATACCCACAATAATGTCACACAACCCAACCAAATCACCCATGATTCCACTTCCCAAACCTCACGTAATCTTCATATAAACTCTTAAACACTGCCCGACTCGACGAGTCCATCGCCGCATTCATACCCCTCATCGTCTCCTTCGACATCGCGTCCAAAACAGAGTAAAAGCCCGGTATCAACGCAGCCTTCATCTCCGGCGCCAGTTGACCTCGCAGCTGACAAATGGCATACTCCATAACTAAATACTGCAAATGCTGCCCCGCTAGACTCTTTACCTTTTTTGTATTATCTGTTAGTCCGCTATCTGATCGCTGGACCCGTTGTACCGCGGACACCGTTGGGTCGCATAGGGTAGTTAGGAGGCGGGTGAATTGGGTTGCATGAGACGGCTTGTGGAGAAGGGAACTGGCATTATGACTGTCTGCCCATGGTGGCGGGGTCAATTGGGAGCGAGATGATCTTTGCGGTCTCGAACTGAGAGTGAAGAGGAGGCGAAGGAGGGGTTGCATGACTGGTAGGACAAGATGGAATCTTCCACTGAGCTTTTGGCGGTATTGGCCAAAAACGAGGCCGAGAAGGTGACAGATGCGACTGTAAATAACCCCTGCATACTTCCCTGCTATTTTGGGGCCTTGGGTAGATATCACGATTGCAATTGTGCCTAGGGTGTTGTCGATGTTCCATTGTGTGATGGACCGCGACCGGTTACGGAGGAGCATTTCTATGCACTCTGTTGCAAGAGAAAATGGTTCAATTGCTGTGGTTTCGATAAGGCATTGTAATAACGCAGTGAAGAGGGCAGACAGCTCCTGTGATGCTTGGGTATCTGGGTCCTCAACGGGCTCAAAGCAAGAAATGGCAACGCCTGTAAGCAGAAGTCGATGAGCAGTATTTTGGCCTGCGAAGCCTGACTCGCGAATTTGGCGTACAAGACGGACGAGCTTCTTCTCTGATAGAGCGGACAATTTGTGGCGGATGTCTCGCAAAAGCATCTGTTGTTCCTCGCCATATAACTGATCAATGGGGAATAACGAAAGAGACTGCATCAGTACATGCTCAAGGTCTTTACCAGGCTGCTGGGACGACACGAGCCGGCGTTTGGCAAGTCTTTTGGTGTGGATATCATCGCTAACCGTAGTCAATCGCTTCTCAACTTTACGTATGGCCTTTTGCGCCTCTTTATTTGTCTTCATCATGTCTTCAAAATCTTCCAGAGCATTCAAAATGCCGGTTAACGTGTTCACATCCAGCATTTCCCTGTCATTTTCCATGTTTTTCTCGATAGACCGTAAATCAGAAATGAGAATGTTTAACACTTTCTCGCGCAGCGCATTCAAAGTTTCAACTTTAAGGTTACCGCCTAAGTGCTCATGATGTGTGCGAAGTGTTCCTAGAGATAACACAAGCATAGAAAACTCCATGTTATTGAAGTTGGCGTTATCGTATTTTTGTACCATTGAGGATGCTTTGTCAAACGTTTTCTGGAAATACAGATGTCGTTGAGCATCGGACGAGACTAACACCCGATCTATGATTACTTTGTGGAGCTGGCGGAATGGTTGAAATGGGAGCACTGTCGACGACGAATCCCCCTTTGAGAGGGAAATAGCATTTGAAAGTTTCCATGGTTCTTCCCAATCGCTGGTAATCTGGGCTGAGGACTTAGGTAAATCTGCCAGCCTTGTCATCAAGGTTAGAATATCAGTACACAATGGCCCAGAGCTTAATTGCCCTGTAACAATCGTTTGTTGGAGGAAATCCAAGAGCATTCCCCTCTGGTGGCGTGGGATCAACCGAGTTGGGACGCCCAGGAGGCTCGCAATTGAGAGATGCCGGGGGCTGTTCTTCTCTTTGAGATGATGCAAAATTGTATTGACAAGATCGTAAACCGCTGCAGGCGTCTCAAGTAGCCATTCGTTAGAGGTCATCGACTGCCATATTTCGACCAACTGACTTTCGAGGCTCGAACCCACTGTCTCTTGCCTCGAAAGCGGTGTCGAAGTATAAAGCTCGGAGCGTTCAACTGACGTGAGAAGGCCGTTAAATAGCAGGGCTCGGTTCTCGGATGTTAGGCGGGAAACAGCCAACGGCGTTGCCTGTAAAACAACAAGATAACCAACACAAACAGCTTCGGGAGAGGTCATAGTGTCCACTCGACCGTCCCATGCTGGTCCTGCAGATTTCACAACCTGATTAAACGCGGGTGCAATTCGCGGGATTATTTCATTCAAATACTGGCTGTGTTTGGCGCTGTCTGCCCTGCCTGCAACCAGTACCACAAGTTTAAAAGCCTCGAATGCTTCAAGACAATCATTCGTAGATATATTGGTGGTGGACCCCTGATTATGGAAGCTCTGCAACAGGTCAACTGCTTTAGGTAACAGGGCTCTGCTAAGGTCCATAGAACTATCATCTGTGTACGAGGAAAGCCGATTAACAAAACGCTGGGAAAGACGCCATAGCCGCCATCCCCAGTCTAGCTTCCATCTCGACAAGATTAAGTTGGATATTATACCGAAGGCTTGTGCCAAGGATTCGCCTTCTAACATAGCGTCGCCTTCTCGTAATTGTGGTTTCAAGATAGCGTCAAGCAATACGATGTCTGCATAGTACTCAGAGATCTTCGCTTCGTCGTCGAATGAGTGCTGTGTTAAAATAGTTTGCAGACGATCTTTAGTCTGATTCTCAGAGAATAGATCCGTTATCAAAGGTCTAAATGCAGCAGCAAGGTCGTCATCCTCCCAAACAAAAAAGTAGAGTATATCTGCCCCGCCTAAACGAGTAGATTCAATCCAAGTTAATTGATCGGACCAGATATTGAGGAATGAACCAATAGCCCTTGCACCCGCAAACCCTTTGAGCAAAGGTATAACAACGTCGTTCTTAATGACGCCATAGGTCTCATTTGGCATAATGCTTGAAACTAGCGAAAAAGATGTGATTCGACCGATAAGGTTGCTGAGCAAGTTTTCCGTGCCATCAATTCCGGAGTTGGGGAGGAACACATCAACACCCGTCCGTATAATTTTGGATATTAATGACCACTCGGTAGCCTGGTATGCCTCATTTTCCACAAGCCCAGAAAATCGTATCGCATATCGACTGACTGTGTTAATAGAAAGGCTTACTTCCCTTTCGAGGATCACTTGCAAGAGACGCTCGAGAATCGGGATGTCTCTATGAGGTGTGCTCCATGACATGCCATCAACTGGTGGGCAGCCGGCGATAGTTGAGAGTGCCACAAAAAGCGTCTCTAGCCAGGGCGCTTCATACACTTGTCTCCTGAACGTGTCCCGAGGCACAGATCGAACAGCAATATCCAGTAACGTGGGCAGCAACTTGATATTCGAGCTGTGGTTAGACTTCTTCCAGCGGGAATGTATATCTTTTAGTACGCGCTTGATTTGGGTGGAATCAGGACTATGATTCGAATTTATGGTTTCAGTTGAGTAGGTGGAGAAGAATGACTGGCGAAGTGGAAGGACGAATTGCAGAACGACAATGCGTTCCAAGTTTTGTATCACATTCGTTTTCTCAGGCGATTCAGTTCTAATTTCTCTCAGAGCCATAAGTAGATGTAGTGCTTCCGATAGACAATGTGATGAAAAAGGATCCTGTGTCTGAGAGTAAGTCAGCATACCCACAAAGAAGGGAGAAAAAAACTTCAGGCAACTTACATCGCTAGACAAGTTGGTGGCGTCACCAAGCCGTTCCGAACTCAGTCTCCAAATCTCCAAAACAGAAGGCAACGCGGGCATTAGTTGCGCATCTAACTCCACACACCCCCTATCCCGCTCTTCTACGACTTTCCGTGCCAATTCTAATGACTGTCCAAGAATCGTGGCAGCTATCTGGGGCTCCCCTCTCAGGACGAGTTTCAGCTGTGAATTGGCAGTTGATCTAACCCCGGAAACCTGATCTGGTAGCGAAACAAGAGCCTTCACAGAGTCCAAAACGGTACAAAACGTATCAACCCATGACCCCGCAAAGCCCCCAACCGGTACCACTGAATCCAAGCCATTCTCCGCCCTCTTCCGCTTTTGGCCCCTTTTCGAGGGTCCCGAAACAGGAGATTCTTGTACCGTCACACTGGATTCAGAATGTAAGGATTCCTGTAACGCAGGACGCTCGGGGCAGGAGTTCGAGGCATCCGAAATAGCACCCAACACATCCTTCAATATTAGCAAAAACTTGTTCTCATTGAGAACAAACGCCAAAGGCTTCGTGGGTATACGATCAAAAAGTTGTTGAAGAAGAATCCACGTTTTGGTGTCTAGTCTATAGTACTTTGACTGCAACTGTTCGTGTTGTTGTGAAGATCCCTTCAATTTCTTCATGAGCCAGCGAAGAACCCATTCCTCCTTGGGTGCGGAATGCTTCTGATTTTCCTTCTCCGCATCCGGAACCACTCTGATGTCTAGCTTTTCACGACTATATGAAGAAGATAAATCCACCCCAATTATGCGCGCAGCTTCCTGCAGCTGACTTGCTGGGCCGCTGGTGCCTTTCTCAAGCTCAAGAAGAGCCTGATGCGCGGAAGGCGGAGACTAGCAAAGGAACATGTTAGCGCTAGGTTTACTTCAGGTGCATTTGAACGCAAAGGAGAAATGGCTCAATTTATTCATGAGACGGGAATCTCTCACCTCCAGAACCGGAGCCATAACAAAAAAATATAATCCCCCTCTCAGGGTTGTGATTGTGTTGTATAATAATAATACCTTCACCATCTTTTTCCTCTACATAAACCCGATTTTATTTTATTGCTGCCCACGCCGCTCTCATATTTTTCCGTTCCGGACGCATCGCCAAGCAATTAATCCGGGCCTTCCTCCGGGAAAAGAAACAAACAGATGTAAACTTCCGATATAACTATTACCAGGCCGTTAGCCCATCCACTGCGCCTGTCGCCCAATTGATTCCTAGATACGTACCAGTAAGTCCAATTTAACTTCCGAATTGAATGCGAGCAATTGACTAACAAAAGGCTTAGAAAACATGACGGACTCCAAAGAAACCGGCTCCGTAGTACCCCGATCAACCAAGCCGCTCAGCGAAGCGCTATTGAACGATAAGGTACGGATAGAGAGATACAATAACGGCGGGATATTAGTTCCCAAAAATACCTACAACGCATTCACCCCCCGTCAATATATGTGACCTCATCCAGAACGAACAAACTACATACCCAACTCCCGGAACCGAGTCGCTAACACAATAGAATCAAAAATCATAGTGGGACCGCGCCATATCCTCCATGATCATCCGCTCCTCCCTCGGTCTCTCATTCGGTGTCATTTTCTCAGTCCTCTTATTCAAGCGGAGAGCCTGGCCAGCGTGGGTTGGTCTAGGATTCGGTGCGGGACGGGCTTGGGAGGAAGCAGATGGTAAATTCAATTCCCCCGGATTATATATACACGCCTGTTTTACATGACCAACGGAAGGGTTCTGCTGTCATATCAAGGCCCATCTGCGTGATAGAATGAATATAGTTTCATCCGAATCGGCACCCGGGACCATACAGCCAGCTCACCGCCCTCTCCCATTAGAACAAATGTGAGAAGCACCCGTGCTAACTACATACATCTACACAGCATCATTCCGACGGGGCGACCAACCCCTCTATAACACAAATGCCTTCCGCCAATCGAGATCGTAAAGGGTGAAGAATTGAGGGGGGAGAAGTGTTCCTAGAAGCGGGAAAGACAAAAGTTGCGCCATGGAACAGACAGAGCCCAAATGTATAAAAGAGAGCCGGGCGCGAGGGAAATGTAATAATATACCTCCACTAATTTACGTTAAAACTATACTACCACAACCACTTCAAGTACTCTAAAGGTACTTTCTTTTTACACATCAGACCACATCTATGGTGTGGGCTTTGGAAATTTCACCAGTGTTTTCTGTCCTTGTCTCGTGTTTGATTCCTCTCTTGCGTTATCGACTTTCCCGTCCGCAGCTTATTACTCTTAAGTTTACCTCTTGTTAGCGGCCCTTTTCTCTTTTGGGCCGACCGAGGTGTTGCAGCTTGCGAGAATCCGATGCGAGAGATAACAAACATTTGCTGATTGCTAGAATTTGCTCGGGATGTTGTTCGAATCTGCTGCATCACAGAGCTTGCTGTCTATATAAAATAGAATCAATAAAGCAAGAATCTCCCTTTTAATCCCTCCTATCTTTAATTGTTACATTGCTCTCTAACCCTTAACTAGAGTCTTGTAGCCTTTTCAAAAATTTCGTAGCAAATACATCTACAGTAGAGCTTAATATAGTACGATGTCCCGTTCGTTAACACATGTCCATTTGGTTTTATTTATTTATTTATTTTTAATTTGTTTATCAAGGATGCAGGGAGGATCAGCTTTAACCGAAGACCTGCCGCGCGGGGTCCTCTAAGGGCCCAAAAACCATATCTATCTATCTATCTATATATATATATATAAACAAACAAAAGAGTTGCAACATTGGTTTATGAACATTTTCGCCTTGTTAAAGAATTTGCAAAACGAATCCCGAAGAGTGAAGATGTCCGGTCCAATCATATACTTTCTCCGATTGAAATGATGCTGAGCCACCGACAAGACAACTTCACAGTACATAAGGTATATATCTTATCTGTGTGTATGTATGGTATTGTAGTCCCGAGCAAGGGGGAAGAATTACAAAAAATAAACAAATGAACAAAGGGGATAAATGTGAAACTTACGAAAAATATGTGTTCTACCATGAGGGGCATACACGCCAGAACGATACCTGTCGCTCCTGTTACGTATATAGGTAAAAGCAGAATCGGAAGAAGGGGGCCAGAAAATGCGTAGTAGGAAATAAGGAAAATACTGGGAAATGCCGGAAACAAGATGACAGGCCTCTCCAGTTGTCATGATAAGTGGGGTATCTTTGATATCGTTAATGACGTATCGTTTCGAGTTTGTGATAAGAGTAGAGAGGACGAAAGATGAATCATGAGCAAGAGGTGCGGATGGGAAATACTGTGCTTAATGGCTATACCGGAAGCGGCATTATAGGTACAGGGCTTTGAGGAGGCTGTGCGAAATTGTAGTGGTTCGTGTAGACGGGTGGTTGGTCAGAATGACTAGGATTGTAAATGGGGGAAATAGGGGTTGTGGCATCCATGATTGGAAGTCCTTGTTCTGTTTGGTTATCCTGGGTTTGAGGAAGCTCGAGTGGAATTCCATCATGGCCATTGTGGGTTAAGCAACCGACACAACTACAGTTGGCTCCACATTGACAGGTTCCCGTCATGTTCGTGCAAGGGTCCAATAGACCGACAGGGTACTCTAACTCGTAATACGCCGCGGGCTGCATCAACAATTGGTTATGATTAGGGTCGTAGATAGCTGGAGCGACAACAGAAGATCCGGGATTGTCAAAAGGAGGACCAGATTGTGGAAAGTTCCATTGAATTTGGCCGGGACTGTGGAATGGGAGGCTACTTGGTGGCCAATCATTATTGTAGCCTAGGCTTCCATGCGCCACGTGGCTGTTGAGCGTTGGAGAATTATTTGGTTCAGGACTCCGATCAGCTTCTCCGGATGTTATCATGTAACCCATTTGCTGGATATGTTGTCGGGTGGTGTTGTTGTAGGGATGGGAGGCGCAACCCAAACACTGACAGTCATCTCCGCAATCACAGTTATGTGGCTGAGAATCATTTGAAATTTGGTTTGTTTGAAATTCAAAAGGGTGCATTCCCGAAGAAGGAAATCCACCCATGGGATGGGTTAATGAATCGTAGGGGCTCATGGGATTCGGCGACGAATAGCCCGTCACAGGGGCGGAAGAGGCCTCGTGCAATTGGGAGTTGGCAAACGGATTAGTATGCGGTAAATGAGGTGAGGTATTATTTTGATCGTGGTCACGTTTTTCTACCTCTATCGTTGGGAATGACTGTTGCTCGGTAGTTGGATACTGAGGTACGAAGTGAACGGAGTTCTGGTTGGTTGGTCGTTCGGAAGGTGTGACGTCTTCTCGCTTGAGTTGAGGAGTAGCATCATTATATTTCCATGCCTTCGAGTTTTTAGTACAACAGGATACTTTGGGCGGCTTGGTAGACGGTTCACTCGTTGGTTGGGAGCCACTGCACCCACCGCTGATGGCGGGCTGAACCTCTATTCTACCCTTATGAGGCAAAGATTGGAGGGTTGGATAAGTCTCCTGGCCGTTTAAGCCACTGTTTGGATTCTGATGTTGGGGAAATGCAGCTGGAGGAGGGATAGACTCCAAACACCGCTCGTTGTATGGGGATTGTATATTCGATACAATTGGGCTTGGCCCTTGATCCTCTGCTTTGTACCCAGGCGACGGGACATCGGTTCCGTTTGAACTCTTTGTGACTAACTCTGGGGCTTTCTGGAGACTACTCTGACGTCTTGAGCGTTTTTGAATACGATTTCGACCTGATGTCGTGGGAGGAATTTGGGCAGGAGCGCCAGGGGTCGGCTGTGCAGATGGTCCAGCCTCCGTCACCATCATGGGAACTTGATAAAGGGGCCGGCATAAACATGTTGAGCCTGTCCATGGACAAAAAAAATTAGGACCATCACTGCCATTGTAAACCCGATTACCGCGCTTGAGCCTTACCCTTTGGAATTCTGACCATGAATGCATATAACTTCTGGCAACTACATGTGCCTTTAGGATGCGGGCATTTTGCAAGTGGACGCCCAGCCTTGGGCACTTTCATCATGAGGCGGTCGAAATGTTGACATTTTGATGATCGGTGGCCGCGGACGCATGGCTCACTACCAGTCAGTCGAGTCAGCAAATTGACCTTTAAATTAAACGGCAATGTAAATCGATGATCCAAGCAGTGGAAGATAAAGCAACTTACCACGACCACTTAGCTCCCTGTTCGTCGAGTGGCATAAATACGGTTGGCACTCGGGAGACAAGTTTCTTCAAGATCCAAGCTTTGGTCTATCCAACGCTGTTTCCAGAGCAATGAGATGACCCCCGACAAGAATGTGCGAAGCTTTGGAAGAGCGAGACAACAAATGTTTTAGGCCCAGCCCCGCCCCAACCCCGCTAGTTGTGCAGGCGAATTTGGAAGCAAGGGCTATATTTGCTTTTTTTTATATTTTATTCCACCCTTTTCGTCAGAACGTTGGAGGCAATTTGGAGGAATGATACCACAACAGTGAGACCGCTATCTTTGACGGGACAGATATAACTAGCTGCAACACAATCCCCCGGTCGAATTTAAAGGGCCCCATGCGGTACACCAGCTAGTAGTAATTAGATAGGAAAGGGAAAAAGCAACTGGAGACAAGAGGAAAGTCGTCGGTCTGGAGGAGATGGAAGAGCGAGAGGAAGATTGAGATCAGGTAGTTCTACAAGGCAGATCGAGGTTGAGTGCCGGAATAAAGTGAGCGTGTAGTGAAGTAGACTCGACTAGACTGGACTGTAGCTTAGCTTCAGGGGAACGAACGAGAAAGAGCTGTCAATCACAATGCTTGATGTAAGGTCTTCAGACGGTAGTGAGCATGAGATGGAATGCCTACAAATGGCATGGGATGGGATGGGAGGGATGGGATGGGATACATTACACCGTATCAGCCCTGTAAGATTCCGGATTCCCGATGCGGTTAGTCCGGCTCGAAGTCGGCTGAAATTCGCATGGCGACATTTCCAAACTTTGTCTCTACTGCTTGGCAGATGATGTAAGCGGTTTGACTGCTGCTAAGGTTTATTATACGCAAAAACTATCAAGACGAAGGACTGCGGCGCAGTCATTGATAGTTATCGTCCCCAGAACTACGCAACAAAGTACAGGGCTCAATTGGCCTGTTTTGGATGCCATTCGGATCATGCCAGAGGATGAGCATCTCGCGACTGGCCACCAGGCCCAAACCCCGCCGCATTCTTCAACCCGATTTCCCTCCATCCCTGTCCCGATAAAACATATCTTTGACAAATTTCCTTGGAAAACCTACCCGGCGCATGAGCTACCACGACGTATCGCAAGCCACGCGGGCAAGCATACTCTGTATATATTTACTACAGCCAGAGGGGCGGAAAAGGGGACTCCATCATTTAACCCGCAGTGTCTGAAGTGGCAGGTTAGTCCAGCTCTGTCGAATCCCGTGGTGTTGAACCTTCACCCTCTTCATGTATGTAGCTGACATTATAATCCGGAACACTTTACAGGCATATCTCAAATTTGTCAGGATTCCTTTTGAGATTGTTTCCTCCAATAATCATGCCTCCCCAACCGGCGCGCTTCCCTTCCTTCTACCCGGGTCTGGTTCCGTCGCGGCTCCAGGGGAACCTATGGCGCCAATCCCTTCAAATAAGCTCCAAAAGTGGGCTATCGAGCAATCCCATGTTGAGGAGGAACAACAGTTAACCATGCGATTTGATGTGTATTCGTCTCTTCTAGATCATAGGATACGAAATGCGTGGGTACGTCAATTCTAGTCTTCGATAGTTTCTGAATGCTGTTCGGAGAACTAGGAGTTAATCAGAGCCCCAAACAGTTGTATACATTCTACGTAGACAGCCAAAACTTTAACAACATGGGACGAAAGCTGTATGTAGATCCATCGACATCAAATCCTCTCGTTCGCGCTGTATTAGCCCACCAGCTTCAGCAAGCTGCCCGAAACGAACTCCTCAAATCATCTTCCTTCATAGACGTGGACGATCTCGAGGCGGAAGCCAAAAGCGCATTCCAAGCGCTGTCTTCTTTACTAGGAGAGGATGCCTACTTTTTTGGAAGACAGGATCCCGGTCTATTCGATGCCAGCGTATTCGCCTATACTCATTTATTACTGGACGAGCACCTGAATTGGAAACAGAACCCGCTTGGACGATACCTAAGAAGGCATACCAATCTTGTACAACATCGACAACGGCTATTGGATGCATATTTTTAGAGCATCGTCGCCAATCACGTTTAGTTCCATTGTTTGTGTTGGACTGACATCTCTTACCTATACCCGATGATGTCACTACGATATCAATAGGAGAATATTGGCAACTTCCAACCGCTATTGCCCCTCAACTCTTTAAGCACGCATGAAAAGTATCATACTAGTTATATTCGCCCTCCTTCCCTTAACACTCTTCTACAATCCAACTCTCTTGTTCACCACAAAACTACATACATAGCTATTCACTTCTTCCTAAAATTTCCCCCATACCACACCAACACCCCATACCACTTCCTCGCCCTCTTACCCAACTTCCCCGCCAAGTCCTCATCAATTCTCACCTCCTTAATGTCACCCAAAACTTCAAATCCAACCTTCTCTGCAGCCTCAACCATCTCCTCAACTGTATGTGTATAGCTCGTCGGGCGAATCTTAACCCCAGTGTTCGGGTCCACAAATCCTGCCTGACTAATCGACCCCATTTCCGAATGCATATTTGTCACCAGCAGCACGCCACCTCTCTTCAGCATTCCAGCTGCGGCACCGAAGAATTGGTCCAGCGGTACATGTTCCATCACAAGAGTTGATATGACGCCGTCCGCATTCCCGATGGCGGCTGACAACACTCCTCCAGCTCCTGTAGCGTCCAAGTCAAGCAAGTTATAAAGATGGAAACTCACACGCTCTTCATTATATCGACTGTACACCTTGTTCCTCGGTTGCTTCTACCGCTGTGGATGCGAAGCTCTCCGTACTCTTGGTTCCAAGAAATTTGGATACCCTGTCCCGAGCAGTCTGAAGCATCTTGCTCGACGGTTCCAACCCCACGATCATGGCCGTGGCTCTGGCGGTCCGGGTGAGCGGGACGGTGTTCCGACCCGTGCCACAGCCAAGATCGATGAGTTTGGGTCCAACGTCATCATTATTCCCGTTCTTATTTGTTTCGAGCAGCGAATGGAATCTCGGGAGGAGTGATTGCATCTCGAGCGTGTCTAGGGCTTGGAGGAAGTTTCCATCTGTGTCGTAGACCTGGTTTTGTAGGGGAATAAAGGGGAAATGGAAGGGATACTTTGGTCAGCCAGTGGTTTTCCTTCTTTTCCCTGGTTTCTTCTTGCCTTGATCCCTTTGCGTGTTTCAGGGGGAGAGGGGATTAGAAAGCTATGTGTTTTATGTGTCTGCTTCAATGTATTGTGTATATTAATTGTGCCTTTTCCATTTGTTCGGGCTGGGATATGTACTGTAAAAACTATAGAGGATCTATAAATATGCATAGCGAAAGAACGAATAGACTTTTTTTTCTTCTTTTTTTATTTTTTGTGTGTATGTTTTCTTTTGCCTGGCCTTCGAAATCTCGCTGGACACGAAAAGCCCTGCCTGCTATGCAAGTTTTATCCCATTCCCCATATGCCAACGATAAAGCTGGAATGCACGAAGCTAGAACAGAGAAACATAGTCCGATGAATAGAAAGAAAAAGGGGGGGTTCTCACCTCAGCCCACCGATCATACGCATCGATCGTATCCATATACTGAATCTGTTTCCCTTTCTTGCCGTAGCTATCGGGGGTATGGAAATCGAAGTATTGGTCATTGCCTGGTTCTGGATTGTAAAGTTGTGTTATACTGACGGGGATGTCGAATAGGGACCAACTTCTGTGTATTGTCGGTAAGAACTGTCTTGCCTTTAAGCAGTTTTTAGTTACGGGGAGTAAGAAGAATAAATGGAATAAGTATGGAGTAATCAAGCTATTTAACTGTTATAAATCTCCTTCCTCTTTTAAGTTGTTCGTAACGTAACGTTGGTAGGGAAAGCTCGTATACCTGACTTATCCTCATGCAGAGGATTTGTGGCTTCGAGTCATAACTCATCTCACTTCCTAACCCACATATACACTACCGCTAACTCCTCATTTTCAATGCATTGCACCACACCAGCTTGAGAGGCCAATATGATACTACCAGCCATGTGCTACATGAACCCCACATTATCACTGCGCGATTCATCCCGCGGGGAGGGGGGAAACAGTCATTCCCGCAGATCTGTGGCGTCGCATAAGAACTTGTTCTGCCGCGAGCATCTCGATGCCCACTTGATGACCGAGTAGCAGTAGCTTGCTTGCGACAAAAATAATATCAACCACGGCTTTAAAATCCCACGGTGTCATACCCAAGTAGATCTTTTATATATATATGTGTACATAAAAATACGTATATACATATCCATATAGTGGGAGGACAAACAAAGACTGTTAATGGGGTGTCTAGCGCAAAGTGTACTAACAATACCAGGTAAACAAGAAGCAAAGTTCACCCTCACACTCAAAGTCGAAAGGGATAAATTAAGTATGGGTGGCCTGAACGGAAAGGAAACAGACACGAGAGAGTGACAGGATAGCAAAGGGTGAGGGTATGATAAGAATAGTAATACATGTAGTCGAAGGATTGTGTCGAATCTGCTGTTGAGAGTAATACACGGAAAGAGAATTAAGAGAGATAGGAGTCGCCACGAACGCCATGCGAACAAGCAGGTAACGCTACGGCAAAGCAGGAAGAATACAAGAATTCAGCAAAATCAAAAGGAAAAGAAACGATTCTAGAAAGCCCACACGCGAAAATATGGTAATCGGGGAAACACAGGGCAAAGGGACATCAGCGCATCCATTACATATCATTCGCAAACATGGAGGAGATACAAAAAAAAAAAAAAAAAAAAAAAAAAAAAAAAAAAAAGAAAGGAGCTAATAAACCGTGCCTCCAAACGGAGCCGTCTCCTTTAAATCCTCAACCAAATCCTCCACATTACTCAGATACCTTCCCAACAACGCCTGCTTTTCCTCTGTCGTCTTCGTGTCTCCTCCACGTGCATCCCTCCCACCGTCACCGGGCCCATGCAAGCTCCGCGAAAACGCACCAGCAAGCTTACTTGGGCTGCGATGGAGGCCGAGGATAGCCGTATTCGGCGCACTCGTGGAATTCGCAGAGGCCAGCGACGGCGTCTCAGGCATGAGGTAGAAATACAGGAACTCGACAAGTTTGAGTTTTACCTCACGCGAGGTGGTGCGCATTTTGAACAGGGAGGTTACGGTGAGGAGGCCGTCGAGGAGTTCGAAAGTGCGGGTGTTGGCTGGGTTATCGAGGAGGGCTGTTACAAGAGTGAGGAGGGTGGAGGATTGGATGGCGGGGCAGTTGGCGGGTTCGAGGAGGTCGAGGAGGAGGTTCATGTATATCTCGCGGGCGAAGAGGGAGCGGGAGGGTGGGTGGAGGAGGAGGGTGCCTTGGATTAGATCTAGGGTTGAGATGATGAGGAGGTCGTTTGTGCCATTGCTGCCGCGGCCGAGGAGATGTTCAAGACACGATATTAAACGCATGGCGACTGGGAAGTTGTTTGTCGCATGTTAGCAACTCTGTTTCATTTCCATTCCTCGCGATTGATAATTGGGGGACAAAATTCCCCTAAGGGTTCTTTGTCGCTTACCATTCCATTGGAATCCCTCTTGTAACTTGAAGAATTCTCTGAAAGCAGGGTCTTCACTCAATTCACTTAGGGGCTTCGCAGGTGTTGGATTTGCGCCCAATGGCACTTCTGAGCGGCGCTTGTCGATAGCGGTGGTGGTGACTTTGGATCGCGACAGACATATTTGCGCCAGTAGCCCTTCGACTTGTCTGAGTCCTTTGCGAATTTTGCCCTGATCGTAGGATGACAGGTAGTCGAAGGAGTGGGCCAGGAGGGTCTCCATTTAGGAGGTTGGGTTGGTACGTTGGTCGCAGTTATCAAGCAACGGGGCTTTGTCCTGCTGAAAGAAAATGCGGTCGTCTTAGATATAGGAGAAGACAATGGGCGGCCGTTAACTCTTTGTGTAAACAAAGCGATGTAGGGATGAGAGGAAAAAAAGAAAAAAAAAAAAAGAAATTCCAGGAACTTCCGTTGGAAGAGAGCTCTTCGCGATCTCCCGTCCGGAATACGATACACCGCAGTTCCGCTAACTAATTGGAGACTCGATGGAGCTTGATCTGGCGACGATGAATCAAGACATCGACGAACATCGCGGCCACGAGTAAACAAGCGTGGTTGTCCTGGCAATCGTGGCAGCCTCATGGACTGTGATTGGCGGGTTATGTGATGAGTAAGCACATTTGTGGCTGCTCTGGTGGATCTAATAAGCGCCTCTTCTCTTGCAACAACCAAGCTTGCGTTGCGCTTGAGCAACCTCATCAATTTTTCTCTTGACGTGGACGTCCTTTACCGGTACTCGTGCTGCAAGACCCCATCCCATCCCCACCAGTTGTTATTCGGCAACGAAACATCTGGTTTGAATTCTTCAAAAACCAAAAGGCGGGCATTTGGCACCTCAACAAACCAGGGAATGGTCCCTTGAGACAGTCCGCTTCTCCATGAGACAAAGAAAAACAGGGGCCCCGATATTGCAAGACAACGCCCCGATATCAGTCTCTATGAAGCCGATACGCAAACGCCAAAGAAGAGAGAGAACCCTGCCCCGCAGGACCGATTTGAATACATGGATACTACGGCTAGACAGAATTATTCACCTCCTTTAGCATGATTTGATTTTGAAGAGTACATCAGAGGCCCACACGATTTGAAACGATAACTATCACAGGCTCATCTCGCCTGAAAACGAAAATGGTTTTCAGTCAATCAATCTTTAGATGCAACCGGCCAAGAATGGTCCCTGAATACAACCAAATTAGCCTCTCATATTCCATTCACATCCAATCCACCCATGGGATGTTTTGATTTTAACCCCAACTTAGGGGGCACCGGAAAAACCTTCTAGAAAACTTTGTTCTGCAAGAATCCCTGAGTCAAATATATCTATGTAAACTTTTAAACTCCCCTGGATAAAAGATCTAACGATTAAAGTGGGCCAAAAACGATTACATACTGAATTCGCGGGGAATTTAAGGGGTTGAATGTGGAGAGGCACACACACAGAGAGAGAGAGAGTGTGTGTGTGTGAGAGAGATTGTGTGATTCTCATTGATTCATAAAACACAGAAAACCTTCCATGTCTTAATTTGGAAACAGGGTGTTGTTACCAAAGAATAGAGAAGGTTAAACAGGCAAATGTAATAAAATTTATTTTATTTATATTTATATATTTTTTAAAAATGACCCAGGAAGTACTACTAGTAGGTAGGAATCCGCCTTTAAATGCTGTTGTCCGTGAACAAATACCGTACGTGATTCAAGCGCAACTGCTCACCCTACTAGTTTCTGATTTCATGAGGCATAAGAAAACAGGTAGGCTATGGCATTTCGTGGATAATGTCGTGACTAAGTAAATCTGAGGCATTTTTTTCTAGCCAAGATATATTTTTAGGATTGTTGAAATAGGAAATGAGAAGGGAACACCTGGACAGCTGGCTGGAGCAGAAGAGGGATGGATTCCTCCCTTCGTTCCCTTCTTATTGGCTTTGAAAATAATTATCTCAAAAGTTTCGTCAATTGTAGACCTCGCCCACTGGGTTGTTCCATGTCCAATGTGCGGGAATAATAGCCCAATTTTAACCACCAGTCAGTCAGTTTCTGACCTCCATCCTGGACATATCTGCATTGTAACTTGCCAGGCGCTCTCGAGCTGTGCGCTTTAAATATATAGGGTCCAGTAAGTTACCCTGTTCGTGAATCGTGAGATCTGACAGGAACAGATCGAATCCGCCCTCCGAGCCCTCATCCCTGATGACATCAGGGATGTTCCGTCTCAAAGATATGCAGAGAAAATCCCATGCGCATCATGCATGGATGCAGCTATGGATATTGCATCTTCTTCTCTCTAGAATATCGCTAGAAGGCAATGTGTTGGGTACAGAGAGCTCACACACACAGTTGAATAACTCTGATCGTTTCATTAAAAAACGGGAACATGGACCCATGTGTGGAGAATGTGGAGAAAAACTAGAGAGTTTCTTTTTCTTTTTCCTGTTTCCTATCGATACCAACATCTCATTTGATGATCGATCCTGATCGACTGCTGGGTTTTTTGAGCTGCGAATAGTTGAATTGGGGGCGAGGGACTTTCTCTCATCATCATTAACTTATCAAAAGTGTGCCCCCCTTATTCAACTGCGTGGGTCTCGGTTTTTGATAACTGGAGGTTAACCAGGAGTATTGCATATGAATTTTGCTATTGTTAATCTTTGTTAGCTGTGGAAGAAATACGGCCTGTCTCCCCCATGCTTTCGCACGCGAACACTTACTGAGTCTAGCAGAACACTGTTCAGCATTCAGCTTGCCCCACGGGGACCCGGGCGTTTCTAATTTCAATGGCCAGTGAACTCCCACCTTGCCAGCAGCACTGCACAGAGGAAAAAAGCAATGGATATCGACATCTCCACATTTTTTTGCTCTCAAAATCAAAAATGCGGGATTTTAACAGGGGCTTTTCTTTTCTTTTTTTTTTTTAGGAAATTTTTCGCAGCTCGCCTAATATTACATGGAATATAAAAGAAATGACTCCAGTTGACTCCTCGTACACCGCAGCCGTAAGATTCACCAAATGCAGCCTTTGGACCCTGTCGAAACGAGCCTGTGCAGTGCAAACACCTCGACGACTAGCAGGGGGTTCTCCGTTTAACCCATGTTAATTCTGACTGGTGATCAATCGTCCTGCCAGTGGATAGTCACGAATGACTCTTATGACGCACGCGCTTTGCTGCTGAAATATGCCTATCTTCGGCGACTTTGTAAGAAAGGAAAGGACTGGTCCGTTTGGTTTGGTCTGGGAGATTTCAGATGTAAGCTCCCTTTTGAGGCTGGCTAAATGTCCTGTTCCATGAACTTGCAAGCTAATACTCCTCTCGGTACGTCCACATGTCTGCTGAATCGTATCGAACCGGCAACTAGCATCTAAACAATCTACTATTTATTTGTTTCTTATAAACAGCCTGAGCTCATGTTCACCTGTGCTCAAAGAAAATGGCGTACGCCAAGTGTCTGGTTGATGCCAGTGGAAAGCCACGGAAACGCCTTCGTAAGGCTTGACCTTGGACACTAAGTTAGTCTGGTGGGCTTGATCCAAGCAAGTGTTCGAAACGATCCATCCCTTCTTTTCCTCATGCAGCCATCCTTTCCAAGCCTCCCCCCCCCCAAGGCCCCAAGCCGGTGCCTGTGTGGGATGGGGCGGGTGGTGGCGCGAGGCATTTGAGCCTTTTGAGGTGTGAAGGTGCTAGATTATTGGCCGTCTGCAATCTCTTATTTTAACCTCTTTTGCTCACATTGTTTTCACCTGCTGTCGCCCTAATGATAGTAGTGTGTGAACCGAGGGCTTCCATTTTGTAGATTCCAGTAGATATTATCAGTAGCCTCTTGCGTGTGCAATTGTCAGAGAACGAGGGATGTTTCTTCCTAATGTTTTATTTAGTGAGCGGGCCAAGGGCGTGGTGGGGACAGTATCTTCACCCCTTCACCTGTCGCTTGGGCTCTGGACCTCATCAAGAGAGGGAATCCTTGCCGACGGGAGGAGCAAGTCAGCGACGAAGAGTCCGTAATTGTAAAATGCACTCCAGCCAAGCGGAGCTGCACAGTCCGGACAGCTCAATATTAACAGCTGAAGTCTCCTTCGAGGTAGGAGTAGCATGCCTTCGACCCCGAGATAGAATTTAACGCTCGGTTGGGGAGGAGGAGCCCTGGGATTCGCCTCGATCAGCCCACAAACAGAGGGCATGAAAGAGGCGGATCGGGTTAATTGGCCTCGTTGTGATGATCCAAAGCTTGGCTGGAGAAAAATGGATGATACCTCTCTTATAAGAGCTAAAATAGCGGACCAAGCCCGTTTCCTTGGTGGCCACAAGAGCCCCACCAGGAGAAAGCCTTGATTTGACGGCATCCAAAAGCACATACTCCGTACATAGTTACAATATACATACATTTGTCATTCTCATTCTTTGGAGAGAGTATAGAGTATCTAAAGAAACTACATTTACTATTTTCATCTTGGGAACACACTCAACGTATTATTCAAGACAGGCTTGTCAATCCTACCCGTGCTGACGGGGAAAATCTTTCAACCCCAGGCTGAACCCGTGCGTGCTGGTTTCTCCCTCACGAATCATGGATGCGGGGTTTTAGTTAAAAACACTCGGCCTAGCGATTATCCCCAAAATATGTCCCAAGGATTTGACTCTCAGCCTAACCTAGCGCGGCATTTTATGGGGGGGAGCGGGCAGGCTATCTCGGTAGTTCTGGTTAACTTACTCGGAGCGCAAACGGTATTTAGAAACGTCAACAGCTCTCGAAAGAAACCAAAGCAGCCGTTCGATGCAACAATACAGAGTACCCTGGACGAAAAACAGAAACGGAAATACTTCCTAGGTTTATTTTGCATACAGAGTTACAAGTGCCCTTGTTGCCCGTGCTGCTGCATTGGGACTCTGACCTCTAAAACGCTGATACGATTCCGTCGCCGGGAACGGAATTATGAGAGAAGCCGCAAAGCGTCGTACAGCTAGGGGGATGGAGGGCGCTGATCTGCCCCGTCGCATTGGGAATAATTTCGATAATTTCGGCTGTGTCTATATTTATACCCAAGATGCGCCCCTCAAACCATCATCGCCGTTCTCGTTTTCATACCGACTTGCACGCTCAAAGGTGCATAGCTCCTTATACTAGCTAGCTGCCTTTGTGATTCTACTTTCTATCATTCGCAACCATGTCGAAGGAAGGTGATGTAGTGTATGTTGCCCCAACGTTACAGAACCCTTGGCTGGCTTTTTCTCATTGCTGACCATTGTTTTGTCTGCGGTGTTTAGGACCGTTGGCGCGGGTGAAAGGCGCGTGTCGGTCTTCGATGACCCGCATGTCCGCAAAAAAAGCATTGCTGCTATGACCGAGAATGTCGAGGGAGAGTGAGTATACTGACTGATGCATTTGCGAGTGTCAAGATTAATTCCGCTTTTCTTGCGTGTCGTGCTCACACAATTTATCCTTATCAGAATTAAAAATCCTCTGTCCGACATTCCCAAAGATAAGCTACTTGAGGATGTCGAGAATTTCGCGATGGAGAATGACCTTATGGATATCCTTCCATATTTGAAGAAGGGGGCACTTGTTGCACAGAGCCCCCGCGACTTCGAGAGCCTCGAGGAGCTGGATGAGGCAGACAAGGAACCTTTGAGGAACGAAGTCCTCCACCGATGGAGGCTACCTTGGCCACTTTATTATACCATCATTCTCAATTCTATCTCTGCGGCCATTCAAGGATGGGATCAAACAGGTATGTAACTTGCGTTAATATTTCTCAGCAGTGTGATTTCCTTCCCTCTAACAGAGCTGTTTTGATAGGATCCAATGGCGCAAATGTTTCCTTCCCTCTAGAGTTTGGAATCCAAGATAGCGGCGAGTGGTGCGAGCTTAGCGCAGCAAATGCCGCAGTTTGCGACAGGAACTCGTGGATCGTTGGATTTGTCAATTCAGTGCCGTATATTTCCATTGCTATCTTGTAAGAAGCCAACTCTACCCTATTCCCCCACTGAAGGCTTGTTTGAGAGTGGCTAATTCTATCGTTTCATGTTTTGTCAATTTCGCTAGTGCTGGCTGGTTAAGCGACCCTATCAATGACCTGATGGGTCGTCGAGGAACCATCTTCATCGCAGCTATCTTCAGTTTACTGGCCCCCCTGGGATCTGCTGTGACGCAAAAATGGGGCGAACTCGCTGCTTGCCGTGTCCTCTTAGGGATTGGAATGGGCCTGAAAGAAGTTACCGTCCCTGTGTTTTCCGCAGAGAATACCCCGGCGAATGTGCGTGGTGGCTTGGTCATGTCCTGGCAAGTCTGGACAGCCTTTGGTATTTTAATGGGAACCAGCGCCAACCTTGCGGTTGTCAACGCTGGCGATATTACCTGGCGCTTGCAATTGGGATCGGCATTCATCCCAGCTGTCCCGCTGGTCATGGGTATCTATTTCTGCCCGGAGTCCCCGCGATGGCTTCTGAAAAAGAAGAACTATAAGAAAGCGTATCAGTCTTTACTTCGTCTTCGTAACACACCACTTCAGGCGTCGAGAGACCTTTACTATATCCATGCCCAGCTTGTCCAAGAAGCGGTTATGCTTGAAGAAACTGGTCTTGCGAAAACGGACAATTTCGTTACTCGATTCATTGAACTATTTACCATCCCGCGTATTCGCCGTGCGACACAAGCTTCTGGTACACAACCACTGTTGACCTTCATCCTGTGCTGTTTCATATGTTGTGGCGCTTGTAGCTACGTTTTGCTAACTTGGCTTGTCTGCTCCAGGAATTGTGATGATTGCCCAGCAGATGTGCGGAAGTAAGTTACATTGGCAGTGAAGTGCAAATAATATGGGAACCCCCAATTTTCCCATCCCCATTTTCGTAGCCAACCTTTGTCCTGGTTCCCTGTCTACATTACGCCGTTTCCTTGCAAGCGCTAATCCTTGAACTACTCAACCATAGTCAACATCATCTCCTTCTATTCGACGACGATATTTATCCAAGCCGGTGCCAGTAACATCGCCGCGCTTCTGGCCTCATTCGGATTTGGCGTCGTCAACTTCACCTTTGCTTGGCCGGCGGTTTGGACCATCGACACCTTTGGACGGCGTGGCTTGCTACTCTTCACCTTCCCACAGATGTTCTGGACCCTATTAGCAGCTGGAATGTGTTTCTACATCCCCGAGGAAAATAATGCTCATATAGGCCTCATCGCTTTCTTCATTTACCTCTTCTGTGCCTTTTATTCGCCGGGAGAAGGTCCCGTACCTTTCACATACTCTGCAGAAGTATTCCCTCTCTCCCATCGTGAGATGGGAATGAGCTGGGCTGTTGCCACGAACAACTTTTGGGGTAAGAAATCAGAGCCAAACAAGCAAAGCCCCATTGAACTCATAAAGGCTAACAGTGAGAAACCATGAACAACAGCTGCCGTCCTCGCCCTTACATTCCGCCGCCTGCTGCGCGCATTCAAGCCACAAGGCGCCTTCGGTTTCTATGCCGGCATGAACATCGTAGCCCTGATCCTGATCTTCCTGTTTATGCCCGAGACCAAGCAGCGGACGCTGGAAGAGCTCGATTACGTCTTCGCCGTCCCGACGCGTACGCACGCGAAGTACCAACTCTTTACCGTGCTACCATGGTGGATCCGCAGGTATATCCTTTTCCGCAAGAATGCGGTGTGCCCCGAGCTGTATCACTTGGACTTTGCGTCAGATGCGGAGAATAGGAAGAGGGCTGCTGCGCGTGAGACTGGGGCTGCGAATGCGGAGATTGCGTAGTGATTTTGGTTTTGTGATTGTCGGTGTATGGGATGAGGTGGGTGGTTTAGCAGGACGTATATATACCTACATGTATGTATGTATATATAATTCGTGGTTTGGAAGATGTGGTGGGAGACGATTACCGAGGACGCCTATTTAACTGCTAGCAGTATAAACGGTGCCTCTGGTCACTATATACATAGGAGGAGCGCGGGAGGAGGGTTTAGTCTTTCTTTTGGTTAACCCTGGATATATATTTTTTATTCTCCTCTTTTGACCGTACTTCGTTTGCAAATGGAGGAAGGGTAATTGGATGCAAGGGAACGGGAGGGGGTGGACATGACATACATACAAGCAACCTCGTTTATGCCAATGCGGCCTAAACCCGGTTCTGTCTGGTATAGGTATATCTATCTATCTGCCCCTTCTCGCCCATGCAGCTGCAGTTCTTGTTTTCGTCTCCTCTCTGTCCCATCGCTTGTTTTATGTTGTTATGCAAATCCTTTGCGAGCAAAGATACCACTGTTACCCAGCGAAATAACAATAAGAGGTTTAAATACCATCGTTTCTTCCTCCTATAAATTTTTTATGGTTTTTTTCTTTTCTTTTCTCTTGTCTCGTTCGCCGGCAAGGGCGGATGGATGATGTATGCCACTATAAGTGGCGGGCGGGCGTTTCCTTCCCTTACGGATTGATGAGTTCAATATCAGGCATGTCCTCATGCTTTCCTTTCCTCTGTCAGAATGAAAAAGAGGTTATGAAGAGCTAAAACAAATCACTGCACTGCAGCATCTACTGGTGGCTTGGTTTCATGATCATGACCTGGATCATATACACCACACACATGAAGAAGTCATGTCCTGGCCGTTGGAGGAAGCTCTGTCCAGCCCAACAACACCCTTGGTATATATATATATATATATATATATACTGGAGGATGAATTTTCCCCGTATCTCATTTGTAGCAGTATATGTAGCCCACAGACACTGAACTCTCCGCGCTCCCAGTGTCCTAAGGTTTAGTCAGCCAGTCTCGTCTCGTCTCGTCTGGTGTTATCCGTCCGCTATCCGTTTTGAGTTGTTCCACTCCGCTCCGCCTCCGCCACCTTATTCACTCTCTGGCCATCACCAAAAGCCAAAAAGAAAGGACCTCAAAACCCCGATTAATGTCTGCGCTGGTACGAACAGCCAGATCCCCGTGGTCTAGCGGGAGAGGCGCCGCCTGCAGGACCACTACCACCTTGGGTTGACCGGCTGTTCGACTCCTGCTTGGATCCAGCCCCGCGATTCGCGAGGGGCAGAGTAGGAAAGAAGGACGTAGCACCGCCCCAGCTCGGCAACGGCTGGCGAGCGGTGTGAACCTTTTTGTTTCTTTGTTTCTTTTTTTCTTATTTTTTTTTTCTTTTATTTATTTTTGCTACTGGAATTATTTTTTTCCCCTTCTGGTTACCTGGGTAGGGTTTCTGCTTGTGGTTGGTAATATATTTGGCGGTAGTATGGTCGTCGTTGTAGCGGATGGTTGTTTTCGCACGGGGAATGTCCCCAACTTCAAGAGGGTGTTTCTGAGTGAATGCCACATCACTAGAGACTCTTGCAACTTCAACATTCCTCATAGCAGGAAGTAGGAAGGTTGAAAGAGAATAAACTGCGTTTTAAAGAGATATGCTCCCTATATTGGAGGTAAAGAAGTGTAGCTCAACCGGCGCACTTCATCTATCTGGTTGAGTATGCAGGCCAAACATGTCCTCCTCCATACTCAACAGTTCCCCTTCAGAACGAATCAGAACAAAATAACATAGTTATTGCTGTGTGTGTATATATCTGAAAATAGCAACTCATCTTACTACGTCCCCCATTTGCGGGCTAATATCCTGCAGGCGCAAAACCGAAAGCCCATAGACAGTGCATCATGCTAGCACTGCAGGGATAGAAGAATACGGAATAAGCAATAAGCTGCATAGAAAAAGCAATAAAGCCCATATACATGTGCTTCCCAACAAGAGCCCTGCGTTGGCAGCACGAAACCCATGCGCGCTCTCTTACGGCGGAGCACGCCAGCGTTTTGAGCAAGAGGATTAGAAACTGCCTCATTCATCCCGGAAAGGTAGAGGGCAAAGGAGTTTATCTATAGATGGATCGATTTGGAATCTTCTTGGTTGACGATAGACAGCTATCCGGGTAGCTACTTTCTTGCTAAAAGGGGCGATGAACCATTGAGTTGCCTCCCGTGGATTGTGAATATTGCTGGGTGAACGGGAGTTTAGTTAGCCTAGATCGGTTGGACCCTCTCAAGGAATATGGCGAGTGCATCACAGACAGACCACCACGTCTAATCACAGCGCAATATTGGGCAGTATTTAATAATTTGTTTTTTATAACAACGTCATGACTACGCAAGTATAGTATGAAGGCTAAAAGATGATGTCAGGGCCTTTCTTGGCGCATGTGATTATGAACTAGTCCCAAACGAGGATAGCTGGGCCCCGCCTGCCGAACCGCAACATTTGAAATATCATATTGGTCTCTCGCCTGGCTTCTTTAACGACCCAACAATCTCTCTCTATCCCTCGATATCGACCAGAGGTACGGAAAACGGAGGTGCTGGAATGAAAAGCCAACTGCACGAAAAATACCCAGGCCAGAAATATAAATTTCCAGCCCTTTTGTCGCATGCTCCTTCCACAAGAGCGGGAGGTGCCCGACCGGGCGTCGTACTATTCAACAATTTGAAACTCCCATCCCCATACCCGTAACACAATACTACCTTCTACAGAAAACGACTCCTTGCATTGTCCTACAGCTTAGCCGCAGTGCTTCGTTGTTACATCTGTTCTGTTTTACCTTGTTTTGGGGATCTTCAACGTCCGTCTGCAACCATGATGGAATCTCTAGCATCCCCCAACCCAATCCCACCCCGTACCAGCTCTACGGGGGTTACAAATGGCAACCTAGAATCCGCCATGAGCGGTAATACCAACGGCTCGAGTTCTCGGAGCGCAGGTTTTAAACCACTCCCCGAGGCAGAGTGGGTTGCGCCCTTGGGAAAGAGGCGGACATCCCATCCTCACAAGTACTCATCAGGACATACTCGAAACCGATCTAGCGTCGATGGTACCAAATACAAAGATGGAACATGGTCTCCAGAGAAAGAGAAGATACTGCTAGGCCCTTATGATTACATGGTCCAGCAGCCCGGCAAGGATATACGGAGACAGTTCATTACTGCATTTAACCGTTGGTTGCATGTTCCTGAAGACAGTATTGCGATAATCACCAAGGTTGTTGCCATGCTGCATACTGCTTCATTACTGTAAGTGCCCTCCCTGCTCAGTGGAAAACGTGTTGCCCCTTTGCAGCCCTTTGGGAAACCCTTACTTATACATTATACGCGTTGTCATAGCGTTGATGACGTTGAAGATTCGTCAAATCTTCGAAGAGGAGTTCCAGTGGCTCATAATATATTTGGGACGGCTCAGACGATAAATTCTGCCAACTACGTCTACTTTCTGGCTCTGGAAGAGGTACAGAAACTTAAAAGCCCGAATGTGATAAATATCTACGCAACAGAACTGTTAAACTTGCACCGGGGCCAGGGCATGGATGTATTCTGGAGGGACACCCTCACATGCCCAACGGAGGAGGATTATTTGGAAATGGTCGGCAATAAAACAGGGGGACTTTTCAGACTTGCCATTAAACTGATGCAGGCGGAAAGCGACAGTGGAATGTAAGCCACAATCACCTTACCACAATTTTTAAAATATATAAGTTGTTAACGATGGGCGAATAACCAGTGATTGCGTCGCCCTCGTGAACCTCATGGGCCTCATCTTCCAAATCTGCGACGACTATCTCAACCTCTCCAATTCAACATACAGCAAAAACAAGGGACCCTGCGAAGACCTTACGGAAGGCAAATTTTCCTTCCCCATAATCCACAGCATCCGCTCCCAACCCGATAACCTTCAACTTATCAATATTCTGAAACAGAAGACGACTGATGAGGAAGTCAAGCGATACGCCGTCAATTACATGGAGAGCACGGGAAGTTTTGCCTATACGCGCAAGACAGTCGTGGAGCTGCGAGACAAGGCTTTGCTCTTGATTGATGAGCTGGAGAAGTTGACCGACATGACCCAAGGTGCTAGTCAGAAAGGAGAACGGAGTGGGGACATGGTGCGGAGTATCTTGCACAAAATGGTTGCGACAACGGTGAACACCTGGCGTGAGGAGGCGGAAAGGGCTGAGTGAAGGGTCGGCGATAAACCCGCAGCTAATGAACGTTTATCTATTTATTTCGACGACAACTTAATATTTTGACGAGGTGATGATGCATCCATACCCACTGTGCCATTTTGGTTAACCAGACCGCCACTGATATGTTTTGTATTTCTTTCTTCCCTTAAGCGAATGATCCCTTGCTGATTTTTCTACTAGTTCCTGTTTTTGTTTGGCGAGATGATGAATTAATGTACCTATTCTAAGCGACTGCTTTCTATCTATTACTTATCTAGGTTTCTAGAGGAATACTATTTAGCAGCAAGTCGGAATCTTGGTCATTTTGAAATAGGAATTTCACTGAAACGCGCACATTACGTGATTGTGCTTCATCCGGTTTACCTTGGCGATTTGGAAAAGGCCATCCCCCCCTGCTTTCTCGGATTGTAACCCTAGAATCCATAGGGCGCACAAGGTCGGAAGTGCTAGCTTTGGCGTCATAATACTCGAGAAGCAGCAACGCACGTGACCACGTACTGGCGATTTGGATATAAAATCGTCCTCCCCTCCCCCCTAAATTCATGAACAGTTCATATTTGATTAGCCGAATACCCCACCACCAAATAGTTCCTCTGTTGTTTAAACATATCGCAACTTCTCTCCACACTAAAACCCACGACCGTTAAAAAATGTCGAATCCTAAAGTATCCAGAGCCGCCAATGACTTCCGCAGCGATACATTCAGTACACCAACTCCAGCCATGCTGCAAGCTATGATGAATGCTACATTCGGCGACGACGTATACCAAGAAGACAGTACGACGACGGAGTTCGAAAATGAAATCGCAAGATTAACCGGAATGGAGGCTGCCCTGTTCACGCTCTCCGGCACCATGGGCAATCAAATCGGGGTTCGAGTCCATCTGGAAAAACCCCCGCACTCCATTCTCTGCGATTACCGAGCGCATGTCTATGCTGAGGAGGGATCCGGCTTAGCAATCCTGTCACAGGCCATGGTGACGCCAGTCCATCCGGCAAACGGCATCTATATGACCCTTTCCGACGTGAAACGGTGGGTGACATTGGGTGACGACGTGCACACCGCACCCACCAAAGTCATCAGTCTAGAAATTACCATTGGCGGCGTGCTTACGCCGATGGAGGAGATTAGGAAGATTTCCGAGTTCGCACGCGCCAATGGGATCAAGGTCCATTGTGACGGGGCTCGGTTGTGGAATGCCTCGGTGGCGACTGGTCACTCTCTGGCCGATTATTGCCAGTACTTTGACAGTGTTTCCATGTGTGTTTCTAAGGGGCTTGGGGCACCCATCGGTGGGGTCCTGGCCAGCACCAAGGCGAATATCAAACATGCGAGATGGCTACGGAAGCAGCAGGGCGGGGGGATTCGACAGGCTAGTATCTTGACGGCTGCGGCGCTCGTGGCCTTGAATGAAGTCTGGCCCACGATGAAGGAAACGCACGAGAAGACTAAGAAATTGGCGAAGGATCTGGAGACGCTGGGTGTCGTGCCTCAGATTCCGGTTGATACCAATTTTTACTTTATCGATGCGGGGAAATCGAAGATTGACATGGGAGTATTGCTGGAGCAGTGTCAGAAGTTCAATGTCAAGTTGATGGATGAGCGGATTTCTATGCACCATCAAATAAGCGATGAGGCCATCGAAAATCTGAAAGCTGCCATTGCAGCAGCGGTGGAAATTACGAATACCCTGTCTCCTGATTACGTGTCTACAGCTCAAACGGGGGTTTATGCGATCACCTCGAAAATGAACGAGTACAACTGAATTAGAATTTGCTATAAAAGGTGACTGTATATAGAGAGACAATGTTACCGACGGCGCGCGCTGTAATTTTTGTTTGCCTAAGCAATTCTGTGAAGGATTTTCCGCATCATGGCTCGGGTTATTCTTAGGGAATCAATCTAGGGGCTCGCTATTACTACACTCAGATATTTGATAACCCCGCAGTGACTGACCTGCAACAAAATTCTACGCGCTCTGCGTTGGATCTCCCGAAGCAGCAGCAGGTTGATAATCGCTAAAATCATACTCAACATCATAGTCCTCCGCATCAATCTCACCGTCAGAAAGGTCAACCTCCTGAATATTTTCACCCTCGTCCTCCTCTTCAGGCGTGAAGCCGTACTCTTCCTTGCGGATCTTCTTCCACGCAGCAATGGTTTGCTTTCGAGTAAGGCAGAATGGCAACTTGGACAGCGAAACACATCCATCCTCGGTCACCTCGACAGTTTGACCAATGGAGCTGGCAGTATCGGTTGCTTTGTCCATCAAAATGATATGGATGAAAAAGATCATCCCTGGTCTGGCTACAACGTTCTGGCCTCGGACAAACATTGGGAAATCCATCCAGGTTGGGGAGAAAGTAGCGCCCAAGCTATACCCGCAGGAGTTGAATCGTTGGTCCCGAAATCCGTTTTCGTCCGCAACCCGTGCATAGGCTTCGAATACATCACCGATTTCACGCCCCGGTTTGAGAGCCTCCATACAAGCTTTCATCTGGAGGATGGTGATTTCAAACATCCGACGGGCCAGCTTGGTGATTCCCCCAATTGGGATTGTTCTCATCAGGCAGCAATGGTAATGCTTATAAGCTGATGCAAATTCGAGGGTAAGTTGCCTGTCAATCGTATCTTTTCCAGTTGAATACCGGGTAAGAACCGACTTATTCCCAGAGACAAGAATATTTTCATTCGCCGGATCATCACCACCACCTTCATATACAGTTCCAATGAGCTCCCGCCATAAATCACCTTCATAGGCACCGGGTTTGGCCAGTTTGAGCGTTCGAACGAGGGCAAAGTCAGCAAGGTAAGCAGCTTTCCGGACCTTGCGTAGCTCAGCTTCGGATTTGACCATTCGTAGCTCCTGGTTAAGCAAATTCGAGTAGTCGACCAACGTGCAGAGGTCTTTGACTGCTTCGTCCAGCAGTTTACCGAGCCTATGCGTCAGGGAGCATGAATCTGGCTCATAGCCAATCCGCTTTTTCGAAGAATCGTTAATGCCGAATTCTTTTAGGACTTTCGAGACTAGGGACACTGGGTTGCTAGTGACATCATCGGACCGAATGAGGATGTTCTTTTGCTCCAAAATAGACGTGTAAAGCGCTTGTCGAAGATCCGGGATTCGAGTAATCAGACGCATGCTTCCGTCAATGTGGAAATACATCGCTTGGAAGAAGACATAGCCAAAGGTGTCGTATCCGGTTAGGTAGTATAAGGATTCTTGCTTCGTGAAGAGAAAGCCGTCGAGGTTCTCTCGTTTCAAGAGCTCCACGGCCCGATTCCGCCGTTCTAGCAGCTCTGCTTCGGAGAACCAGAGTGCCTTCTTGAAGGGTTGGGCTTTCTTAAGAGCAGTGGCCATTTTCGCCTTTTGAGGGGGTGTTGGATTTGAACTAGTTAAAATTTCTATGTCTATCGCTTCGTGATATTCTCGTCTTGCAACTTGGGGTGAAGAGTCATCCCTTCCTCTTTATACAATTTTGACCTCATCCCACTTGGATTAATAATTGACGAGGGGCTTCGAATGAAACCCACACGCTTTTGAGCGCACATGATGGCAGTATTGTTCCAGCCTGGTCCAAGAGGGTTGTCCGGGGATTTCTGTTACTCAAGCGAATTAAGAGAATTGGGTCTGGAGGGCGTAAATCGCGGGCATCTCGGTCTCTCCCTCTCCCTGCATCGAGAAGAGTGGGGGGTGTCGTCTCAACCGCCGCACTAACTAGGCTAAGCTAAGATAGCGATGTGGTGTGGGGACTGTTTCTTCGGTGGCGCTTTCCCCGCATGGAGATCAAGTCGCTCTAGTGCTCAAACAACATTCCTTTTTCCCCTGCTCGTATATTCCCTGCACAGGGTTGCTGAGATGGGCGGAAATCGCCCACCATCTACTTTGGAGACATGGTTTATCATCCTGAAAAAACGTTGATCTATCGTATGACGGGCCGACACTTTGTTTGTCAGGAGCATGACTTTCCAATGGGGATTAGTTGTTGCCGAAGTTGCGGTGCTATTCGGCGGCGACGGAGTTAACAAGAGCACACACGAGTAAAGCCAAGGTCCCCTGCTCGTAAAATGGGATGGAATAGTTCTGACGTTTCTCCGTGGCTTCTTTTCTTTTTCCGATTTCCTATTTCCGTTCAAAAGAGCAAGGTTTGGCTCGTTTTGATATCTGTGAAACCTGCTTTCGTAGGTTGTCATTTTCAGAAACAGAGACGGCATTTTTGATTATCGCAAAAAAAGAAACGGAACAATGGACACCCAAACGGAGTCTAACAACCCCTTCCGTCGGAAGAAACCCAATTCAGTCGTGGTTGACCGTGCTGCTTCTGACATCGACGAGAAACATGGCGGCGATACTTTACCTGGAGAACTCATCTCCGCCGGATCTCAGCATCTGCACCGCAAAATTGGAGGTAAAGAGCTACAGCTCTTTGCTGTAGGAGGTGCAATTGGCACATGTATGCAATTCTTCCAGTACCCTACAAAGAGGTTGTTCATTCGAAGCTCTTGCTGCTGTGGTTTGGCTGGTGATAGTTATGCGATACTGACTTGATTGTCTCGTTTAGCTCTCTTTGTGCAGATGGGAGCTGTCCTACCCAAGGGCGGTCCTGCAGGTCTCTTGCTTGGCTTTATAGTATATGGGACAATCATCTTTTCAACTAATCAGTGCTTTGGTTCGTTCAATTCATTAATGGATTTTCCTGTCATTTTTTTGTCTACTTCCCTTTTGGTACTCGAGCCAGCTGACAGACGCGGGCCATTCTGCAGCGGAGATGGTTACCTACATGCCTATACCATCACCCTTCGTCCGACTTTCTGGATTTTGGGTTGATGATGCCCTGAGCTTTGCTATGGGGTGGGACTACTTCTTTCTTATGGGTAGGGCATCCATCTGTCGTATTCAGGATTTTCTGCCCCATCTCTAACCAGATTTACGGGTTGTTCCCTTTGATCTCTTCACTATAGCTTTCAGTGTCCCATATGAGATTACTGCCATCAACGTTCTTCTCACGTACTGGACCGACAAAATCCCTGTGGCTGCAGTGGTGATAGTTTGCTTGGTAATTTACGCGTGCGACTTGAGCCCCTTCTCTTCCTTCCTCGCCCCTTTCTCAAGTTGTCATAACTTGCTCAATTGGATATCGAAAATACTGAGCTTTTTATGTAGGGTGCTCAATGGACTTACAGTGCGATTCTTCGCAATTTCTGAGTTCTACATGTCCATGTTCAAAATTTTCCTGATGATGTGAGTATTTCATTAAATGGGGATAAGTGTACAACTTTTAGAAATGTTGTGGCTAAATATGAGGACACTAACATACATAAACAGCGGCCTAATGATGTATACATTTATCACAATGGTCGGCGGTAATCCACGCGGCGACGTTTACGGCTTTCGCTACTGGAAAAACCCTGTGCGTGCTTCTGTTCTTTCAATTTTCCAAAAGAATGCATCGGTTAAAACTAATTTTTCTTTGTTCAAATAGGGATCATTCGTCGAGTATCTTGTTCCTGGAGACCTTGGTCGCTTTTGTGGGCTGCTATCCTGCATGATTCAAGGCTCATTCACGTAAGGCACCTTGCCGCACTACCCCTTTTACCCCTGACTTTTCCGGTTTTTGATCTAAAATTCTCTCCTTCCAGCATGGTGGGGCCGGAATATATAGGCATGGCTGCGGGAGAGGCAGAGAATCCTCGCAAGATTCTACGAAGGGCATATTCTTCCTTTGTGTATCGCCTCATGTTCTTCTTTATCGGTGGCGCACTCTGCATTGGACTTGTCATTCCATATGACGACCAACTTCTTGCTGACACAATTGTAGGGAAACGGGAAGGAAGCGGAACCGGAGCTGCGTAAGTTTTCTTGTCATTTTTCTTGCTCCAGGTTTCCCACTTTTCATTTCTTTCTCCAATATGCCCTCTATACGTCCTTGCTAACAAATGTAAATAGCTCCCCCTACGTTATTTCCATGGTCAAGTTCGGAATTAAGGGCGTTCCTGACCTAGTTAACGCCTTGATTATGACTTCTGTCCTCTCTTGCGGCAATAACGTCGTTTTTTCTGCTGCACGCACTCTCCATGGGCTATCACTTGAAGGCAAGGCTCCTGCCTTCTTCTCAACGTGCAGCAAGCGTGGGCTACCGTACTATTCAGTTGTTGTACCACTTACATTCTGTCTCCTTGCCCTCCTGCAACTTAACGAATCGTCCGGGACAGTTCTCAGCTGGTTTGTTGGAATCTGCACAGCCTCGTACCTTCTCAACTACTTCGGAACTATCATTACGTACCTACACTTTTATGCGGCACTCCGTCGTCAGGGCATTGACAGAAACACCCTCCCCTACAAAGGCCTATTTCAGCCGTACACCGCATGGTACGCTCTATTCGGTACCACAATCATGACACTCATTTTGGGGTACAATCTCTTTATCCACGGGAATTGGGATATCACTGCATTCTTTACGAACTACACGATGGTTGGCTTCTTTATTGTTGCCTTTGTATTCTGGAAGGTATTAAAGCGGACAGAGTATGTTTGGCCTGGCACAGCAGATATCTGTCTCGGCAATATTAAGGACGATATTGATCTGTACGAGACTCTCTACGAGCCAAAGCAAAGGGGGAAGGTCTCTGCTTATCTGAACGGCTTTTTCGAGTAATTCAATGCTTTCCTGCATATTTTGGCGATTGGCTAGTTTGGGAATTTGAGGCTTGGGAATTTTCTTTCTTTAGCTTTTTCGAAATTTAGTTAGCAAATTGGAACTGTTGATAGCGCGATCGCTCTCTGCAGGTTAGTTTAGCATAAATCAAGAATTGTTCTCTTCTCATCTCAAACCAATTCCCAGATCACCCCTTACCTAAAAGAACCCCTTGCCCTAATAAGTTCCTAACCACTGCCTTGGACACAGGTCTGTGACAGGTCAGGCTGTACTTGGGTAGCGATCGCTAAACACAGTATAGGAAACCCAATGCCTGGAAGATCTATCAAATGTTTCCAACATCATAAAACCCCTTCGTCCGTGACAGCGCCAATGGGGAGAGGAGAGAACATATCCGAGCGGCCCAAGTTATCTTAGAAACTCCGATTTTGCGAAAGCGCTGTGAATCCTGTGGAGACGCCTCTTTTGGATATCTTCAACTTTTCCGATGACCAATGGGAACAGCTGAACTCCGTGGAGGTTACATTATCTTTTCCGCGCCCGAGGTCCGGGATGGAATTAAATAAAGTACAGCGTAAATGGGCATGGGGCATGTCAAGCATGAATTGAGGCATTATTTTCATCAACTCGAGAGAGGAGTCCATCGTGATATCTTGGCGTGGAGTAACTAGCTAGTTAAGCGTCAGCGCTAACGCGAACTAAATACGAAAATCGGGTTCGATCCCTATCCCCACAACCTCTCAGACCAACACCAATCATTTATATTCTTGGCCCTGTATCGTATCGACATCATCCCAAACCAAACTGAGGAATTGCCTAGCAGCGGGGACCAGGATGATCACTTGCTTGAGCCACCTAACACGGCATAATCCCAGCCCTGCAGACTGCAGACTGCAAATTGCCCGCCGTATACGCCAAACCCCACAGGCCACAAGCCGATGAGAGTCTGAGAGATGCTGAGAACCCCCACTTCCGAAGCCCTGGACATGCTAATCCGAATGTTGCCTTAGTGTTGTCTTCATTGGCTTTCTGTTATCGCAAGCTCTAACAATAGCTCCGTCAAACTGTGTGAAAGAGCGTTGTTGCTCCTGCTGCTGGTGCTCTCGCATCCTGATCGAAACCTCCAGAGCAGCGAGTGCAGAAAGGAAACTGAGAGGAAGGAAGAAAAATACAATGCACGGGCAAAGCAATCAGGTTCAGGAAAAGGGCGTTTTCCAATCTCTGGTGGTTCGAAGTGCGCTTGTGTTTGGCCTAATATCAGCATTGCTAGCTGTTCCGCTATGGAAACCGTTAATTACTGAACGACTTAGGTTGTTTGGGTCGCCCGGACTCGACAAGTATTCCCCAAACATTGATATGGGGATATGCCAACAAGGACCAAAACTTTCGCCAAAGAACGAAAACGTGGAACACTTTATTCGAGAAAAGGTTGAATCGCCGGAATATCATAAAGATATCATCCGCAAGCTTACAGGGATCATTCAGATCCCCTCTGAAAGCTATGACGACCTGGGCTTGATTGGCGAAGACAAACGCTGGGATGTATTCTACAAAATCGAGAGTTATATCAAAGCCAACTATCCCAACGTATTTAAGCATGTTCAGCTAGATCATGCCAATACTCACGGGTTGATCTTGACTTGGGAAGGCAGCGTTCCAGCGTCGGAAGCTAAGCCGATTCTTATGCTTGCTCATCAGGATGTGGTGCCTGTGCTTGCGGAAACAGTGAAGGATTGGACACATCCACCTTACGGAGGATATTACGATGGCGAAATTATATGGGGTCGAGGGTCCACCGATGACAAGGGGTATCTGATTTCCATTATCGAAAGCGTGGACTTGTTGATCAAGAGCGGATTCAAGCCGAAACGAACTGTGATCCTGGCGTTTGGATGCGATGAGGAAGTCAGTGGTGAAAATTGCGGACGACCAATTTCGCACTTGTTGCACGAGCGATATGGCGACGATGGCATCTATATGATTATGGACGAAGGGTCAACTGGCGTGCAGAAGGAATTTGATCGATCGTTCGCCATGGTAAGCATGGCAGAAAAGGGGTACTTGGATGTGGCCATAAATGTCACATCCACTGGAGGACATTCTTCAAACCCACCGGACCACAATGTCATTGGTATCATGTCAGAGATCGTCACGGCAATTGAGAATAACCCCTTCTCAGGCAAAGTTACTACCGAGAACCCAGTGTTTGGTTTTTTGGAATGCGCAGCTATACATGCTCCCGAAGCCAGCTTCCCAATGGAGATTCGAAATAAACTTAGCAAAGTGGCACAAGGCGACTCCAGAGCTCAAAAGCAGTTAGCCCAGGTGTTGGACAATATGCGATATTATTTCAGGACAAGTCAGTCGGTTGGGACAATTAACGGCGGTGTCAAAATCAATGCGATCCCTGAGCTCGTGTCAACAATGGTCAATCTACGTCTTGCTGTTGAGACTTCAATTGCCGAAATTGAAAAACATTACGAAAGCCTGATCAGACCAATTGCACGCAAACATGGAATGGTCTTCGAAGGCTTTCATTCGACCCGAGAGTCTCCAGATCCCCGGAAAATTAGCTTGAGAGGCATTGATGCGTTGGAACCAGCACCCGTTTCTCCCGTGGAGTCTGAAGCTTTCCGTATCCTCTCAGGTACTATCAGAAACACTCTTAAGCCGCTGGATAAAGACGAAGGCTACGATGACCTTGTCGTTACCCCTTATTTGATGGCAGCGAACACAGATACCAAGTTTTTTTGGTCCTTGACGAAGAACATTTATAGATTCACACCCATTAACTTGGTTCACAACCTCAACCGAGCGCATACCACCGATGAGTTTATCCGTGCGGCTGAATTTGTGCGAGAGCCGTTGTTTTTCGCTACTCTGATCTTGAATGCGGATGATGTGGTGGAACACTGAATACTTAACGAGAGATATGATAGAAACAAACAAAATAATAGATGGATTAGTCCGAGAATATAAAATATTAATGTAATGACTATATTTCATGTTTATGAGATCACCGCTTCACTGGGAGCTAATATTGATATATATACGTTGATTAGATTATATCTTCATCAATACAAGTCATATCGAGAATGGCGGTTTGAGTTACCTCGGAAGGTTGAAGTTGCTGACAACTTTAATACTCTAAAGTGTAAAAGTAGAGACAACGAATCTAGGAGATTAGGCAGCGCATGGACGAGCGAAAAGGATCTATATCTAAGTGTTGTCTATTTATTTGAGACATATTCAACATATCAGGGTATCAACCGACCGTTATAAATCCCCGTATCACACCCTATGTGCCAAAGAAGATATCTAGAGGTAAAAACAATATGACAATTGCAAAGAAAGCAGTATCAAGCCAGCCAACTAGATTCACATAACTATGCAACAGGCCTTCTCTAGTCTCCGCATGAAGCGAGGAACGACTGTATTCGCCACTTGCTGGATCTCGTCAGGTCGTTGATCATGTTGTTGCTGTTGTTGCTGATGAGGAGGCGCGTGATGGGGTTGGGTTGCGGGCAAATGCGCTGGGCCACCCATTAAATTGACGTAGATTCGTCCGGCGTTATCCTCTGTCGTATACTGCAGGCCTAAACTGCGGCAAACCTGCTCCACTCGAGGCTTGAGCTTTTGCACGTTGTTAACGGAGTGGTTACCCTTCCCGACAATCCTGTTTTCCCGCACACGATCGTTATTTATCGGGCTCTAGTCAAAAACGAAACGAAGAGGAATTTATCTTCCGCACAATCGCATTTGATGCAGGGTGGCCAATTAATCCGTCGAATCCACATGCAAGAACACTTACACATGGAGATGCGTCTGGCCATGCCGCTGTGCATATTTTATCCTCTCTTCCAAAATATCCTCTGCCTCCTCCACAAACTGACCATGCAGATCAATGGTATCAGAAGAAACGCGGCCAGGCGCATTATTCTCCCTGAATATAAACTCAGAGGCCTGCTTGTTATATTCCTCCATCCTCCTGCCGTGTGCTTTGCCCTGTTCAGAAAGTTCTTTTGCGAGTTGACCATCGCCATTCTCGTATGCCTGACGAGACTATGAAGCGGAATTTATGTTAGCCGGCCGATACGAGGCCTCTCCAGTTTTCGCGAATTGATATAAGACAGACGAACCCTCTCAAAGCAGGAGCCCCTTTGTGCAGCTTCACGTCGAGCAGCATCGCGCAAACGGTCGTACTCGGCCTCTACATCTTGGCTGTGATCGTGGTTAAAGGCTTGTTGCGCGCCCGCGAAGCGAAGCGCTGCGCAGCGCAGTTGAGAGTCAGTTCAGATGTTATGACAGTTATTTCGAACAGTGCGCAACATACCTCGGTTGCCTAGATATGACATTTCATGCGACATTTTAAGATAATTGGGCCAAGTTTAGGTCTCCTTCCTTGCATCTCACTGAAAAGCTGGGGGGGAACCGATCGGCAAGCCGTGGATCGGACCGGAGCCGATCTAAATTGACCAATCACAGAGATGGCAACTTACACTACTAACTTTAAGCGACCCAACGTGGACGAGAGTCCAGATATTAATCAAGGAAAAGAGCTAGTTTTTTTATTTTTATTTATTTTTATTTTTTATTTTTAATCAAAGCTATGAGGAACAAATATCCCGTTTGTGTAGGTAAATATGAGGGAGGCCAACGTTGATGCGGGGTTCTAAAAACATAAATGAAGAATGAATGAGAAGTTACGACTTCGTACAACTAATATATGTGTGGGTCACGTGGGTGAGGGCCAGTGGAGAACCTCCAACAGTAAATTATGTCACTAATCCTTGCTAAATTTCGTATTTTTGTCCACGGACCATTGTCAGTTCTTTGCTCCAATAGCAACAGGAAAAATGGGAAGAGAGCATGGCGAAAATAAACCAGGGAAGGGTGTAGTCAGAAGTATGAGACGTGATTTATACGCCAAATATATAGGTGGAATATCCGAGCACTGAACTGAGACGAACAAGAAGGAGACCATTTCAATGAATAAAATAAATGAAAGCTAGTAAAATCTGAAGTATAATTCATTTTGAGGGTGATTTCCTGCGAGATTAGCATATCCCGTGCTCGCCCCCTGGTGAGGTTCATCGCACGAATAAATTTATGGAACAAATGAAAAAATTCACATATACTTGGCTTTAAACTCAGTAAGCAAGTTATGTAACCTCTCCTTTTCCCCTGGTCCTGCAAATATTGTATTTATCCCTTTCTTGCACATGTCGATTACCGTGGCATGGTCGAGCTTAAAGCTCTCGGCTGCAATAAGATATTCGTTTGACAAGGGGCTGCAGAAGAATCCAACATCGTCGGTCTACCTTGTATTAGCTCGAAGAAACCGCAGAGGGGAAGGAAAAGAAGAACACCACCGGGAAGGCTATCCCGCGAGGTATACCTAGCTAGAACCCACCGAAAGAATAATCGGGCAGTCTCGATGTCTCCAGTAGCCAAAATGATGGTCCGGAAAACCTCCCTCAATCAATCTGCCATGAACGTTGCATGAGAGACAAAGCTCTAATCCGATCTTCCGACAGGCAATTTCATCTCTGATATCTTCGGGAACATGGATAACATGGCCCAGCCTATCGGGCTCGTAAGAGAGGAGTGTGTTGAGTTCATAAGGAGACGAGGAAAATGTCGTCTCGGCAAAGTGAAGAGTCAGTTTGAGACCATGGGCTTTCGCTTTCGAAAAGGCCTGTCTGAAAATAGAAACATCTCCTCGCATTGGGTTACCGCCAAGTTCCACCCCTACCACGCCTCGACTCTTGTATTTTATGGCCAAATCTATCGCTTCATAGGCATCTGAGGCGGATTTTGCTCTGTCCACGGATATGATAAGGTAGGTTGACATCTGGTCGCTGCGACATTCGTAGATGGTATCAAGCGTCGTTTCTATGTACTTTTCTTTTGTCATTCCATTCTCCAGGCTTTCTCGCGGAGTGGTGCGTAGTTCAAGATACCGAACCCCATCATTCTCGAAATCATTTAGGACGGATCTTGTTGAATATTTAATGCTTTCTAAATCGGTACAGAGCTGGTAGATCATGCTTGTGAATACTTGGAAGAACCTGTGTGCACCCCTTTAGTCTCTGTGATGCGCATAAATTGGCAAGCAATGCTTAAGAACAGGGACATGAAAAACAAGAACAGACGATAGGAACACCGTGTGAAAAGATTAATAGGATAGGCCCATCCAATTAGAGTCGTCAAACCGGGACCATTGCAAGGAATAATAGGGGCTAGATACCTACGTTTTGAGCGTGTAATCCACCTTTCCTGGAGGCATTGCAATGTAAGGATCTATTACATCCAAATCTGGGTTTTTTGCCTTCTTTTGCAGCCATATTTCTCGCAAGCATTCCCGGGAGATACTTCCAGTGAGATGGGCATGGAGCTGTTCGAGGTTGCATTAGAAAAAATAGCGATTGAAATGTATATTAAATGGAAAACATGTAAAATGGCTTGGAAAGTGCAAAAAAATGCAGTTGTCAATGCTGGTCTGGGTGGAAGCCCAGCAGTTGATATCTCATATCTCCCTTGATGCATGGATAAATACTGCTGGAACAGACCAAATATGTTTCTCTAGCTAGAGGGGAAAGTTAAATACCTCGATCTTGGGTAATGCCTTAGTAAAAGCCAAGTCTATCCGTTTCGATGACTCCATTTTTGAATCCAAGAACGTTGGTTGGACGTCCAGGTTTTCGCTAACAGCCTGAGCAGGAGAGGAAATTTAGAAATAGTATTCAAGGGCTATAATAAATAAATAAATGTCCGCTTGGAGGCCACGTTTCTTATCAAGTGAGCAGCAACAACCCCCGCATCCCGGTTGCAGGCTCACCTTCACGAAATGAATGAAACGAAATTTCCAAGGGTAAAAAGAACTGTTGCTCTGTCCGCCTTTCGTACGGGAGACTCACACCAGATGAATGCAAGCAAGGGCTCGTTATCCTAGGCCTTTTTGCTTCGTCTAGAGCGTACTTATCGTTCGTCGGATAAGTGTGAGCCGCTGTTACTCTCCTGTATTTATTTATCAGAACCCCGGATCTTCGTTTTTCGTATTTCGTTCTCAAAGGCTTGCTCTGTCCAAGTAGATCCACACGTCAATTAGTAACGTACTCTCAGATTGCAAACCCCAGGAAAATATCTTCAACCTCGGAGTCCGTTGAAACAGCCGCAGACCATCGGGCCGAATGCAATGGGGCAGACTGTGGCGCATGTCGAGTTAGCTTTTCATATGCATCCCACGTTTGTCGTGCAGAGGGAAGAAGAAGGCAAAAATGATTGTTTGTTTTAATGGTTTCATTTTCTGTCGCGTTTTCGTTTTACTAAATATCTCAACCAACAGCGTGTAGAGTAAATATGATTGCTTCCCGGTCATGTTCCATCTCAAGCGGCTCTATATTATATACTTCCAATTTGTGTATACTCACAGCCTCGTCGCTGGCTTAGGGGAACGAACGGCTTGAAATTCATTATTGTAAAACAACTGCATCATGACCCGAATCGATGAACTTTGATATAACTAAGTTATCTTTCGAAGCAAAAACACTAGGAATGAACTATGGCAAACAATCACTCGACCTCCCGCTTTAGCCCTTATTGCTCAAATTGCCCTGAAATATACAATTTTCCAAGGCTGTGTTACGCATAACTCATGTCCTGATCCTCGTGGGCCGGGCCGATATCAAAGAAGAGCAATGATTTCCGGTGTCATACACGGAGTATTCGTCGCTTTCCATATCAATCCATATCAATAGAATAGAATAGTCGCTCCTGGATATCATGAACTAAAAAAAGATTTAAAAAAAAAAGTTTACTTCCACATCTCACCTCATCCTACCTCAATGGCTGATTTGATGGATAGTTTTGAGCGAGAGAAACCTTGGGGAAGCAACAATATCAGGCGGTCATGTCTTTGTTCACAGGCAGCTAAAATGCGAGTGGCCGGAGCAGGGCTTTTGATAGTCCAATGGGGGCTTGGAAACACAATACCGCTCCCGTAAATGTGAATTGCCTCACTTTGCCGGGCCATCTTGGAAGAGTGCATCAATTGATACGTGGTCTCAAATCTATTCAATCCTCATCAATAAATAGCTTTATTAGGCAATAGAGGATAAGCCAAGAATTTTTGACTGGATATGAACACATGAATTGGAGGAGGAGCGTTATGCATTGTTATAACAGCAAAGAGAAAGGTTTGAACAACAAGTTAGCACACTCAAATGAATACAATGCCTGCTCAATAATCCTGCTATCATGATTAGTTATATAGAAAACTAACGAAATTAGAGCGACCACATGGCCAACTAAAACTTCGATGGTTGATAGGATATGTATGCCGACGAAAAAGGGGAAAGGGAATAGCTCAGGATTTCCCTATAATATAAGCAAAGGCTGCCTTGAGGGTTAAGGCAGCCAAGGAATCAAAGGTTAAATAAAATGATCATGAGTTTTGTGCTCTTCCATTCGAATGGCATCAGCCCAGGTAGAGACAGCTTTTGTTGATTTCCGAGGAATGTAGACATAGAGAATCACAATGAAGTTAAAACATAAATCCCCAAAGGAAGTGCAAACGCACATTAGGCTTTTTTATGTGAGCTGATATTGCAATCCATCAAGTAAGCTTGTAATAAAGTTGCCCAGGATGCGTGCGGTAACTATTGCGCAAGTAGAGCCATGGTGTAATTGGAGGCAGACTTGTGTAAAATGATGCATCGATACCATACGCCCCACATATATATCAGCTGTATTCGCGATATTTGCGAAGACAGTCCGCACAAGTGAATCGACTTGATGGGGGCCTGATATCATAGCTTCCTCACCCGGCATACATCCGTTCACGAGAAATCGGGCTTAAGGGCCCTCGCAGGTTCGTTGATCTGCCTCTCATACAAATTTAGGGATATCTGCAGGGTGGTTGCCAAGTACATACAGAAGCACAAGGCGACGGGTTGGGGGCCAATTGGTTCCACGAATGAGCGACTTCCGGTGGAGCGACGTGGCCGTGGAACATTCGACGACCTCCAGCAGTATTCTTGGGGTCTCCCCAATTGACGTTGACGTGTCTCCTTTTGAAGATATTGCATATTGAGAATATCTAGTTCTGGAGATGTTGCAAAAGTGACAACGAAGAGGTGCATTGCGGAGGAAGTTAACCTCAAAATGGACAGGCTCAACGCTACCAGGCCAACAGAATCACGCTTAACCGAAGGGAGGCGGGCTTCAGCAAACCGTTCGATATCATTGTCATTGGGAGGGTAGAACAGCCATTTTGTACCAAGCTTCGGAAAGGGGTGGTTGTGCGATTAACCTAGTAGTAACAACACACTTGGGTTTGAGTTCGCAATATGCAACCAGCAACCAACAGTATTCACGACAGCCGACCCGACAAGAACATCCATGCAGACGGTTGCCCTGAGCGAGGAGGACGGAGTCAACTGCTTTATAAGGCAGCTGAAGAACCTGCTGAGCAGGCTTCGAGTCTCACTGCTTCATATGAGGCCCAGTTGGGAGGAAAAAAGCACTTGTTGTTTGATATCCATCTTCCTCATTGGGGATCCCGTGGTCGAGCCCTAACGTTTCCGTTTTGAGCAAAAGCCGAATCACGGGGCTCAGAGATCCCGTGACCGCGATAACGCTGCCTTGTAAGGCTGCGAGGTGTCTGCAGAATATAGACTACATGCGCCACAAATACTCCGCGAATTAATATTGCTGCCTCAGGAGCCGGCAGCAATCGCAAAAATACGAATAACACCAACGGATTGGCTCACGTCGTGTGCTTGTGGCGCGGATTATCCCTGCTGGGCTCCAGGCGTCTACGATTAGTTATTGGTGAGTCATTCCTACACATATCTCCACATTCCTTGGTAGCCTGCGGCCACCCATTCTGGGTTGGAGGACAAGCCCTTTTGCGACTGGATGCTGTTTACGGGATGAATATATCCAGCTATTCAAGGCCACAGCCCGAGTCATGGCGCCGTTTGACTGATATAGTTAGGTAGTGTCAGAGACTCCTTGTCTGACAGGTGTTGCCACTATGGGAATCGTCCAATGAATGACTGGCCTGGCGCGGATATTCGGTAGTCCCCAATACATGACCATCGTTGAAGGGGGTATAATTGATTGCTTACTCCTAGCAGAGCCTCACGAATCGACATCCATACATATATAACTGGTGCTTCCCTCCTCCACGCCTTCTGGCGTTTGTACCTTATTTGCACTACTCTGTACATCAAATTTGACTGCTTGAATATTCCGCTATGGGTGATAAGATCGGATATCCAAGTCCCCAAAGAAGCGAAAGCCCAGAGATCACGACAGGTGTTCTCCTTCCTATGGAACCCAAAATGGCCCAAGAGGTATCGCCAGCCGTGGTTGATGGTTCTCGACCCAGATTAGCTGTAAGGCGGACGAGAGAACCACCCAAAACTGCTACTGGTCAGATATACTGTGACCATCCTGATTGCCGCAATCATATCCCCTACTTCAAGAGGCCTTGTGAGTGGAAGTATGTAACTCTTTTCTTTTTCTTTTCTATAGTCCCTATTCCTTTGAACATGCATGTACTAATTATTTTTTTTATCAGCAAGCACATGGATAAGCATGACCGTCCATACAAGTGCACGAACCCAGATTGTGGCAAGATGCTAGGGTTCACCTACTCAGGGGGCCTACTCCGCCATCAACGTGAAGTTCATAAAATGAACAGCAAGGGGGAGAAGTTGATGTGTCCCTTTCCAGACTGTAATCGTAGCTCTGGGAAAGGATTTACCAGACAGGAAAACCTCAAGGAACATCTGCGTCGCCTTCACAGAGGAGGAGACGGTCGATCTCCAGAAGATCCTGCTTCTCCAGAAGCACACGAGAACGGCACCGTGCTATCGCCCCTCCACCCTCCTAAAAGGAAACGCGGTAGTAGCAAATCTTACTCTTCCTCAGATGAAGGGCGTTCGAATCCTCCCGATCTCCGTGAAGAAATTACTCGACTTCGGCGGGAAGCTATGCAAAAAGACTCGAGGCTGGATGAACTGGAAAAAGAGCTGAGGCAGCTACGACAACTGATCCAGAACGGTTGAACGGTAGACGGAGTATATACGGATATAACGACGAAACAACAGAGCAGCGATATCTGCACAACCAAGAGCACCCGGCAAGATGAGTCGGCCCATTCTGAACCGTGGAAATTTAACTCAATATTTTATGAGGCGATGTCCCCATTTTGTTTCATTTTACTTTTTGTTTGAGCATAGTTTTGTTTTTGGCATATAGCGACAGGCTCAAATTTGTACTTTTCAACTTCCTCAGATTTCATATTTTTATACTATTTGGTTATGGGAGCATGGAATTTTCCTTATCCTTCTAAATTCCACCCAGAGCCCATCACGTTTCTTTACTTTCTCTGAGACTCTATGCTATCCATATACCCCCCTATCTACACTTTTTCTATCGCTGATCATACTCATTGCGTTACTCCACTTATCATTATACCCATTCCCCATTTTTCAAATCTAAGATCTACTTTGCATAAACATTAGAATGTTTCCCCCCTCCCCCCTCTCCCCCGGTCCGATTTCCTCAATTACACTTATCACTGCCCTCTTCCCGCTATTTAACGCATCATTTCTTCCTACGCGGCACTTCCTCTTGCCATCTAGCACCACGTCGCGTCCCCTCTAACGCCACCATTGTCTCCTCTCTTGGCATATACCATTACTATATAAATATTGATGATTACGGCATTCCTTAGTTTTTAATGTCATATAAACGTTAGCGTCTTAACCTCTTTACTTATCTATTGTGGCTGAGGCTTATCACTCATACACATAACGCACGAACTGACTGTCAGAAATATATAATAATGTGAACCGAATCTCCATGAGCTTACTGTCCAGATAAGTGGCAGCATGTTGTGTATTCGAAGGGGGATCTAAAATCCTATAACCAGAAGAATATCAAAGCCACATACGGGCGAAAAGCAATTTTAATGTGCAAAGGAAGAACGCGTCAACGGAACCCCGCTTAGCTGATCAATGTTCCTGGTCTATCATCCATGTTATCCAGCACCAATGGAAGCCAGCTAAGCAACTGAATTGGGTCCAGTAGCCATTCATCTCTAAATCGTGTCAGGGACAGTTGTTGCACCCATGGAGCAGTACCCCATACTTCGTATGGATCCATGGCTTTCCCCTCGGAATGACGTTTTACCTATATTTTACACGCCTAAAGTCTGAAAATCCGCAATCGGCCTCCGGAGCAACTCTCCAACAAAAAAAAAAAAAAAAAAAAAAAAAAAAAAAAAAAACCCAGGCAGTTAGCACGGTTGATCGGCTCATTCGGTTTACGGCTGCATATAATCCGCGCCACGCCTAAAAGGAGCTCTAATGCACTAACTAGCTAGCGCTGTGGCTCCGCGAAGCATCATGTGATTCCAGAGTGTCACCATTTGTCAAAATCCCTCCACGCGCTGTCCGAACTCCTGAAGCCGTCAACGCAGAAAAGGCGCACCATCAATGAGTCGTCGTGTCGTGTCACCACTTTGTCGAGCTGAAACGGGTGATAATGCCGATCGTGGACGATATTTCCGGTGGCGTATTCCGTGACAGCTTCCTCGGCCTTCATAGGGCTGTGTTGAAAAACCGCACGCGAGATCGGGGGAGGTTGTTGACATGAGGATGTGGCGAGGGGGGAAATTTGTTTCGCGGATAGATAACTTGACAAATTTTGGGCGATGAGGCGAAAAGGACGCGTCGCTGCAGTGGCTTTTGTTTTACTCAGCGGAAGAACGGTTTTGCGTGGAAGATTCTGACGACAACTGGACGAACACTTTATGAATTCTTGCTGCCTAGACAACTACACGCTGGAATTGCTGGGTCGTTCAGGATGTGTCAGATGAACTCTCCTCTTGGGTATGTGGATCTGGTGGATATTTCCAGAGCTAGATATATCTGCGTGATCTCAGTGAGAGCTGACCAAGGACCGCTCATTGGTGCCTGTGCTTCGCCCAGGGCTGGATTTTAATGGCCCCCGGGCTTCTTTGTGGCATCCCCAGATATCCAATATCGATATGGCCTCATCAATGAGGCGATAACTCTCCTCTAGATTCTGGGCAACCGAAAACGGAATCCGCCAGCATGAAACCTTCTTTTCCGGACTACTTTTCGAGAACGCTGCCTTGCATCCAAGTTGTTGGCCAGTGCTTTTCTGCCTAGGCTTTTTGGATAGCTTGGGTGAGGAGAGCTACGAGACAAGCTAAAATGCCGGTTGGCTTCATCGTGTTCTGGTGTGGGTGGCTACGAAGGCATCCATGTGCGGGGAGCAAGGCGCGAATCATATTGGAATCCTTTGGGTTTGACAAACTTTTTTCCGAGTATAGCCAGGCTACAAGTTCGAATGGACCTGGGTGGATCTTGGCGATAAATTTCTGTCTGGGCTGCCTCCCAATGGTGGTTGGGGAATGCAAGGTTACTCATGGACTGGACGGACTGGTGGTGGCCTGGGGGGTGTCAGAGCTCTCCTTTCGGACGACACACAGGGTTGTCTCGAAAGTTTAACGCGGCACGCTCGTCGGCCAGGGGGCTGTCAATTTTCAATTTCATTCAAGCTGCCATCTGAGGTCACCAGTCGGCAAAGGAGGGGGATTTTGAGGCACCCGAAGTCATTCTGTAGAATTTCTGACTGCCACGCGAAATCAACCGAGCATTCTATATTTTAAAATAAATATTGTTCATATCAAAAGATAACCACATTAAACTTGTATGAAATACTTTCAATGCTGCAAGGCTTTCTCAGGAGAAGGGTACAAGAAAAAATATATACACATATATATCGAGCTCACAATAGTTCATATTTTGTTGGTTGTTGTAGACAAAATCTGACTGCTGCTGAAAACATTGGACTACGATTTCACGAAGATTCGCCTCTTGCTTACAGTTTAATATCACGTGATATATCTAACACTTCCAAAGCATCGCGCTGCCTCGTGTAGACACAGCCATGCCACAGACAGAATTGATTTTACTGTTTTGTCTTCGTGTTTTGATATTTCATGTCCTCTGACATCTCCACAGCCAAGCCGTTTCATTAGGAGAAGATTTCCTGCTTCGAGGGCCGTCCCTTTCCGTCAATAGTTCGACACGGTTAAGCCAAAACATACCCCTGGAAGCCCTGGCGGTGTTATTGTAATCTCTTGCTTCTCGCCCTTTCTTCCAGTAATGGTGGAACAGGGCTTGAACCAAGGGAGGGCAGCGACTTGGGTCATGGGTCATCATGAACCCTCTTATATTCCCACCCAACCATATTCCTCCGGCCTAGATCATGTCTGGACGGGGATATCAAACTCATTGGACTACACCCTGCTTCGGAATCTCGAGGCACCAACATCTCATGATTTCCCAAGCGGCTACTTGGCCTGTGATGGATTTTTTAAATCGCTCGGGCAAGGAAGTTTCCGCTCCGGGTTCAGCCTTATGAAATGGCGGTATGATCAGCGTAGGGAGGCCCAAGCCATTCTCCCGTACCTATACGTGGGGCCGACAGCTTCCGCGCGAGATGTTGAGTTTGTGAAAAGCGCAGGAATTACGTGCCTCCTCGGAATTAGGGGTCCTCTCCCTCACCACGCGCGTGTTGTCAATGCAGACAAATGTGCGACCGCCCTAGGCATTGAAACTGACAACATTGTCGTCGCGAATGACCAAGAATTTATTAAAACGCTTCCTGACATCATTCAGAAAATCAACGAGCACATATGCTGCTGCCCAGTCCACCACACGGATGCAGCCACCATGCCCGGAAAGGTCGCCCCAAGCCAGCCGTGGAAGAAGGTTCTGATTTTCTGTGAGACGGGGAACGAGCGTTCAGCAGCTGTCGCTATCGCCTATTTGATGGCCATGCTCAACTACGATGTTCTAACCGCCTTCATCAATGTCCAGGGCAGAAGACTCTGCTGCAATCTTCCCGAATCCATGAAGCACGTGCTCCAGACATTTGAATCCATCCTTGCAGCGAAAAGAGATGTCGTCAAAGCGCAAAACGCAACCAACTGTTCCAACGGAAGTGCGGCCACCATCGCAGGATTATCCAACCCTAAGAAAAGAGCAATTGACGCCATGCAAGGGTTAGAAGATTGTGTAGGTGACGTTCCGGATTCTGAGCTTCTGGCCCGCTTAGACCAAGAGCGCTTCATATCTAGAAGCCCTCAACCTCCTTTCAACGATGTACCCGGCGGCTAATTCCGACACGTGATATGTACCCATTGCGAGCGATATTATACCCGGGAAAAGGCTACCAGAAATCATCTATGTCACTGGTAGGTGTATCTGAAAGAGATTGAGAAGACTACTACACAATGAGGCTTTAACTCTCTTTCTTCCTTTGCTTTTACTACTACGTGGACCACAAATTCGGCGTTGAAAGCGGCGTTTACTCGAGGCAATGCGGATCCCAGTTTTCTTTTTTTTCTTTTATGGAACATGATAAGCGCCAGGCGTTTGGATTTATCCGGTTTTTGTGATTGCGTCGTTTCTTTCTGTTTGTTTCTATTTTATTTAGTTTAACGGTTTTAACCCTGAGAGGATATCACAACGTGCCCTGGGGCCTTGGTATTTCTCTGTCCAGTTACTCAAAAAGAAGAAAAGACTGCAGAAATATTTTCTCATAAAATATTTTTACCTTTTCAAAGCTTCCTATGAGGAATATATTTTCTGATCTCCTTCGTCTCTTCTCTTTATTTCCTTCCCTGCCTGCTCTTCTTGGCCCCCAAGCAGAATTCACTGCGCTTGTCGTTTGTCCATGGCTCTTTTGTGGTATTGCTTTCTCCTGGCGCAGGGAACAACAGCCCAGATGGCTTCTTGGAGCCCTTGGTGGATATTCACTGAGGAGCTCCACATTAATGGTATCCAGATGGCCTATATCACCCCACAACTTCAACTTCAAGATAAACAAATCTCAAACTGTGAAGAACTCAAAGCATCTTCACTGTTTTTGATTTCGCCATCTTCAATCTCATACACTTACTTCTTTATGACCTTGTACAGTTCCTTTAAAATTTTAGAACGGCCATTTGACCAAGTTTACCTTGTATATTCCGCTCCACCCCCATCCCTTTTCGGATGTTTTATACCCACTTCACTTTTTGGCCTAGCAACGAATAACACAACACAACAGCACTCCACCACTCCTTCTAATAGAAGAATACAGAAAGAAAGGAAGAAAAGGAAGAAAGAAACGCGTTAGTCTAGCACAAACGTTGTCCCCAACAACCTGTCGTCAGATTATCCGATGGTTAGTTAGTTCTACGACGATAGGGCCACATATCGCTACACGACAATGAATCTCAGGAGTAGGGACGCTATAAAACCACCCAAACGGTATGACGAAGATAAGTGTACCACTCCACCGCCCTTAGCGTGCAGCGAACCTCGTGGCTATAAATCGAATGTTAGACGTCCCGCGTTCCCATCCCCTATCGTTGAGTTCAACCCGGACTTACCTCCTGCAGCATTCCCCACGGTCGATTGCCAGCAGCTACACAAACGCCCTGCACAGGAAACCGCTGGGGGTTCCAGCAACATTACAGAGCCCATGCAGGAACAGGCTGGAACCGGTGGTGTTTTCGGTCGTCAAGATGTGGCTGATCGCCAATATAAGACTACAACCAACCATGAGCAGAAGGTGGGAGGCGATGGAGATGTGTCCATGGTCGATGCCGTTTATGACTTTGGCAACAATGCTCCTGCCGCATTCAATTTTCAGGCTGGCTGGGGCTATGCGAATAATCCGTATCAACTCGGGAATAGTGAGCACAGACTAAGGAGCAGCTTGAACTTACATATAAGCGACGATGAGAACGAAGTTGGAATAGGTGCTCATGAAGCTGCGAAGATGTCAGCTGTGAGTTTATCCTCTTCACTATACTTTCTGTGCAAATGAAAGTTTTTATGGGCATATATGTTCCTGCTAATGTACTGTTGTTATTATTATTAGAGGCCCCTCCTCCAGGTAAAATGGAGCGATATATCCCCAACCCTTCAGACAGAAATCTTCGAGAATCTCCGTTCTATCTATAATTTTCGCCATGCAGCCGAAAGGCTGGGACTTAGCCCTTCAGAACAAGTCAAGATGCTCGCACACTCCACTGCGCGCAAGGAACAAGTCCGGAATGAGAACGCGAGGTTGAAAGAGATGAGAGCGAAACAACTCCGGGCGTTGCTGCGAATGGACAATAGTTACCTAAAGACACAAAAGGTGCCAGGACAGCTGGTATTTCGAACCATCTCAAAGAAATTTCTCGA